TTGAGGCCATGTTTACTAGGCAGCTGCTTTGTCCCATTAACTCATCTCAGGAACAAGCCCACTGGTGATGACTGTCTATGCAAATCTGGAAATAATTAACTAGAATTTACATGTCACAGAAGATGAGCCAGTTCATTTCCCACCCAGATCACCCCCAAATAAATTAAAATGTTGCAGCCCAAATTGGTTCCTCTTCAGTTAACCCCCAAATTCTGTTTCTAATTAATTGTCCTTCGATTAATTGCCTTCCTCCTCATTGGCTCCATGCATAGCTCTATCTCTTTATCCCATCAGAATTAGGAGAGGCTGTGCCAGGGTTGGATCGGTGTCTGGAAGCAGTGATTGGCTGGACGGTGGCCAATAAACCGTGGCTCAATTCTGAGAAGACTGCTGGTGGGCGGGTGGTTCCCATGGCCAGGAATTAGGTGGACAATCTGTTCTGGGCAGGGCTGCACTTTGTCTGAAGGGAAAAGTTCATTGTCGCCGAGAACTCCTGGATTCCAATGGGACACTAGAGTCTGAAGTGACTTCTGTGGCTTCGATAGCGTATGCCCAGCTGAGGCTGGTTAACCAGCTATGACTGCCCCAGCACTGGGATAGTCTGGCCTCAGCTGATCACGCTCTGGTGACTACCTGCCTGGACTACTGTAATGCAATGCATGAGGGGTTGCCCTTGATTACTGCAGAATGTGGTTTGCTAGGTCTATGCAAATGTTTGACGTTAGTACAGCTCAAGGTTACATCTTATCTTCTTTTTGAAATAATTTTTTTTACTTGTTTTGATTTAGAACACTTTTCCAATTGGTATGTTTTATTACTGATAAATTGTTTTTTTCCCCTTAGTATTATTTCTTATTTCACAGCTGTATCCAATATTTATTTGCAATTGTGACAACTTTTTCCCCCTCCCCTTTCTTTTTTTAAATGACTTTCCTCCCTTCATTTCTTTTTTTCTGTAACCTGACCACTATTATTAAAAATAAAATTTAAAAAATGGGGGATGGGGAGAATGTGGATGGTAGGTTGATAAGTGTAGCAGCCTGATGGGACCATGGGTTACTGGTCCTGAAAGTGCTGCTGACCACTTTAAGGCTGACTTAAGTCAGTACTGAAGACTAAAGCTGAGGCTGCTGAAGAGGCATATTGGCTGTGAGTCCTGAAGACCCCCTCCCTGCCTTGCAGGCCATTTTTCACCTGGCCTGGGAGGGAAGGGCCCCTGACTGACTCCAACTACAAAAGCTGATGTTGTTGAACAGACTCTTCAGCTGGGATATTGGGTGGGTTTTTTTTGCGGGGGGGGGTGTTGCCGCTGTTATTAGTATTTTCTGTATATTTAATTTATAATTTACAATTTATGCAGAAATTGTTCAATTTGGTTGTGAATTTTTTTGATGTTTTATTTATTCTTTATGACTTTGGTTATGCTGTAATTGTGATTTTTTTTCATGTTGTGAGCCACCTTGACCATGGCTTTAACTATGGAAAAGCAGCATACAAATAAAATCATTTGTAAGCCTAGAGGACTTGCCCTGTGAATGTAGTTAAATGTCTGGAGTGGTGCTGGTGGTAAAGTGGCAAAACCTGATTATGGGACACCCCCTATAGTGGTTACAATAAGTTTTGCATCGGGGTGAAGGGGTTTGCCTACACTTTCTGAGGACTCCACTTTTCCTAAGGTCAGGGAAGAATGGTGGTTTCTAGGAAGATCTTGTACTGAATTGTTCTGACCCCGATTAGCTCATGAAGGGAATTAGGAGTTGTAGTGCCAATTTCTGAATGACAATTGGTTTATTGGCCTCCTTTCCCCATAGAGCCTCCAAAGGCTGAGCCTGGACACTTTCCAGAAGTGATGCAAGGTGTTTAAATTGAAGCAGGCATTTAGTGGTTCGGGTTAAGTGCTGGGTTATTTTAGTTGTATATGTATTTTAGCAATATCCGTTCAGGATGTGTGCTGTTTTCAGCTTGCCGTTGCCTAGATTGACACTGATCAATAGGGTGGGATAGAAACCCAGCAAATCGCTGTTGAAAATGCTATTCTAAATGTCCAGCATTCTGCTACCAAATTTCTAAGAATCCTGCTCAAATATGTAAGCGCTGAAAAGACATCTTATGTCAGCCCAACACTGATGCAGCATCCAGCCAACCAGAGGCGTTACTGTGTACATGCCTGGCCTTTGCCACAACACTAGTGTACTATACAAGCCCACTTATGCAGTTTCAACACATACCACCACCACAAATGGGACTTGTTTTGAGCTGGAGCACCAGACCAAAAGGTACTCAATTTTTTATGTCATGCTCCGGCGCAAATCAGACAGCTCCTGTGAGAACGCATGACTAAAAAAAACGAGAGTCCCAGTTTGGATCAGCTGGATGTTGGAGGGTACACTATAAATACATGAAGCTTCTTAGTACAAATGTTCATGTTGAAAATGTGGGCATCATGGGGCAAGACCTGGTTCTCTGCTCTCAAGCTGATTGACTGGAAAAGCTTCATTTCTGAGTATGGTTTCTGCTATCATGTATGAATAGAATTCACAAGTACAGTGGTACCTTGGGTTAGGAACTTAATTCGTTCTGGAGGTCCGTTCTTAACCTGAAACTGTTCTTACCCTGAGGTACCACTTTAGCTAATGGGGCCTCCTGCCACCGCTGCACTGCTGGAGCACGATTTCTGTTCTCATCCTGAAGCGAAATTCTTAACCCGAGGTACTATTTCTGGGTTAGCGGAGTCTGTAACCTGAAGCGTATGTAACCTGAAGCGTCTGTAACCTGAGATACCACTGTAACTCATTTCAGCTCAGAACTATGTTCTTTGAGCACGTTCACAAGTACAAAATAGATAAGAACTGAAGACCAGCACTGTTTCCAACAGTGCCCAGATATATTCAGAAAGCCAGCCAAGCACGATGTGTGGGAAGCAGCCTTACATCATTGTTTGGCTTTAGTACCTACTATATATTGAGAAGTAAACTGTCTCTATAAACATGCTGGTCCCTTCATTTCCCTACCATGGTAATTAATGTCCATGGATGGAGCTACCTTCCATTCATTTGCTTAACCCATTTTATATGCCTCCAAGTGAGTAGTCATCATTATACCACGAGGTGACTTCCTTGTTGATTACATGTTACGTGGAATTAGTAACTTCCCATTATCAGACTTGCTGTCAGTTAATGCTATTAGATGACAATGATTTCTAGAATTGCGAGACAGCGTGAAAAATAAATCCACACCTTCCTACCATTCATATTGTTCATAAATCTCTTTATCATGTCCTGCCCCTCCCCAGTCATATTTTTTCCCTGAAGTCCCAAGCATTTTAGACTTTCTTTATATACTATATAAGATAATGTGGAAAAGAAATTGAATGCACATTCTAGCCATGGCAAAGTTTACATTCACAGAACAGACATATTCAGGCACAAATCGATCCATGCTTCTCATGTTGCAATACCTCTTAATTTCAGTCACTAAGCCTGCCTTGTGGCTTACTCTCTTTCTTCTTCGCAATGTGTTCATTCCTCATGTTAAGCCATATTCTTCCATGATAAAACATGTCCTGGCCAGGATTCCCTAAGGCTACAGAACAACGTTAAAGGAAGAAAGGCCAACTAATCAATGTACAGTCGTACCTTGGATCCCGAACGCCTTGGTACTCAGACATTTTGGCTCCCGAACCCTGCAAACCCGAAAATGAGTGTACTGGTTTGCAAACGTTCTTTGGAACCTGTACATCCGATGGGGCTTCTGCGGCTTCCAATTGGCTGCAGGAGCTTCCTGCAGCCAATCAGAAGTAGTGCTTTGGTTTCCGAATGTTTGAAAGTCGAATGGACTTCTGAAAAGGATTCTGTTTGACTTCCAAGATACGACTATATATCCTTGCGTGCCAGTCATGACTGTATTATCTTCCAATTCTCTGGTACATTTCCATGTCCAAAACAATTCTCTCTTCTTCTTTCATTAAAAACAACAAAACAAAAACAAACCCATCAGTAATATTCCCTGTTGTCTTACTTTGCAGACTTCTCCTCCAAGGCAGGCATTGTCCCCATTTCACAGGGGAAATGTAAATCCCTGTAACATGGGAAGTCAGTTGTTCAGCTATATTTTTTCTCTCGCCATGTATAAAACATCCCATTCCAAATGTGTGTATATCAGGAAAATCTCCACTATTTCTCCTAGCACTTGAAGAAATGTATTGGAAAACCCCAGTGGGGATGCTTCAGCAGCACGGCGAGACTAATTTCCCTAGGGAAAACTGAGGACACTGATAGGTTAAAGTGAATTTGCAAATCCAACCTGACTTTCTGAGGAAGTAAATGGAAAAATGCAAAAAAAAAGGGGGGACCCAAAGGCTTTTATTATTTGGGAGTATTCTGGCAAATACAAAAAGTCTATGTTCTGAAAATTACATTTTAAAAAAGCTCTGTACCTATAGTAACACCTTCACACAGCTGTTGCTATTGCACATTGGGTGAACAAACATGAATGTTTTGCATTTCTGATGTAAATTCGATCTATACATACTAAGAAGGCACTGAGACCTGTGCTTTGGCTCATATTGTGCTACGTTGAGCTCTTGTTCAGGAATGTGCTGTATTTGCAGATAAGATACCAAAGGCTGAAGATTGAGAGACTGACTGCTGCCTACCTGCCTTAACTAACAGACCACAATAAAACATGGGAGACAGCATTAAATTGAGAACAGACAAATCAAGTTATTTTCTGGAGGTACTTTGAAGAACAAGTCCGAGCACCACAGTGGCATCTTAGAAATTTGTGAATAAAGGGATCCAGAACCACAGTTCGATTTTGCTGGGCTAATGCAACCCTGATGCTTCAGGCTGATTTCCATCTGCATGCTCAGTAATGGCCAGTAATGCCCATCTTTGCTGGAAAATGGGGGGGGGGGAATCCCTTCAGTTCTTCCTCCAACCCTGATGGGCAAGACTCAAGAAAGACTTCAGTAGAAAAGTCATCACTTTCTAAATGAAATTTCAGCAACATTTTGTCCTGGGCTGGTCTTCAGGAGTGAGCTTTATAGAATCAGTTAGGTAGTTCTCGATGATCCCGTTGTACTAAAAGAAAAACATAACCCAGTATGAGTTTATGAAAACAAGGCAAAACAAAAGATAATAAAATAGCTGAGTTGCTATATGGCAAGGGTCATCCCTAGTCAGAAAGGTACAGTACTTGGGAACCAAAAATCTTGGCATAAAAAAAATCCTTTTGTTCTCCTTTCTCTGTGTCTTAACCTGAACAAGTGGCAACACCTTGTGGTCAGAGGCAGCAATCTCATCCCACATGCTTTAAGATTAACGACACCCAGAGAACTCTTTGATGCACAACTGTCTTATGGGCGGAAATTGGTTTTGATGTAAGGTTTTCAGTTTGTCATAGTTCTGTGGTTGGAAATCTCTATATTTATTGTCATAAAAATCTCATCCCTTTTGCAACATCATATTATATATATGATGAGAGTACTGTACTTATAATCCACAATCACATACAATTCCTATTCTCCCCAAAAATCAGATTTTTAAGAGGTATTGTGGTTTCTCTTTTGCAAACTGTAGCATTCTAAAAAGTAAATAAAATGATAAACACATGCCTTTACTTTTATACTATATGGCTCTCACTGCACCTGTTTTGGTTTCAGTGCAGAATCAGACACTCTGGAAGGGGGAAGCTGAACTGCACTGCACTCGGGAGAAGACCTGCAAGCGAAAATATGTGAGCCCAAAACTTTAAAAATCACACATTAGCCAGACCCAAAACTTTGCTCCTCCTTTGATTTTATGGAAATGATCACAAGAGGGTGCTGTTTGCTTCACATGCAACATGTTTGATGCTGATGAAAAACTCAGCTATTTCTTAAGGACAAGGCTGCTACTCACCCTCGATAGTGCTTGCCTTGCCAGGGTCTCAAAAGCCTGAACTACATTGATATCATTCTTGGCGCTTACTTCAAAATACGCAATGTCCTTTTCTTTGCACCAGGATAAAGCTGCCTCCTTGGACACCTGCAAGACAAAATTGGAAGGGATTCGATTAGGTGATCTTAGGTTGCTTCCAAACAACCAGTGTCTTGAACATTCATCCCGATTTGTTTACAAGGAGGTTAGATTGTGTTGTGTGTCACGCAATCATTATGCAAGCAATGTGCAGGACATTTCTCAATCACCCCATCTTTATTATGAAAATTCAACTTTTGCAAGGAAGTGGGGTTGATCCACAAGACTGCCACTTGGCTCGGAAGTGTTAGCTTTTCTGTTGCCATCTCACATTATGATGTGGAACAAGGTGTGGAAACTCCCCTGCCCTCATGATTCACCCACGTGCAACTGGCTGAGCTCTTGATAAGTCTCAATCTCCAAAGGGTTCTTAACTTCTACTCGCAAGAATTAGGCTTTAGTGGTGACTCATATTTAGCTACCCCAATTCATAGCCCTAATCATGTCATCAACATGAATCCTTGTTCCTGGACAGCTGGCAAATGAGTACATAAATACTAGCAGCTTTATAAACAAAAACAAAAACACCACTAATATGTATGCTGACACTTACTGACAGTGATGATCTGTAAATATACTGAAAATGCATTGATAACGGGGGCTAAAAGAAAATGCTCTGCAGTGTTCTCCAGCCGTGAAAGTTACAGCCTAAAGGCTTGCATGCACATATATATATATATATATATATATATATATATATATATATATTTTCATTCATTTATTTCTGGCAAAAGGTTTGGGTAGTAAGCGCACATACCCCTACTACTTGTTAATTTCTCTCTCCTCCCCATATAATAAAAATATTTACGGTATGTAGCTTGCTTTCCTTTTTTTCTGAATTCGAGGAAATGTTACGCTTCTCTATACTTTCATGTAACTGATCACGCCAATATATTTTTAAATATATATATTTACATGGCTTTAAATTTGTTTTTTCAATTTTTTAAAATAAAAAACATGGGAACTTCCCTCATGGCTAGTGTATCACTGCAGTGCTGTGCAAGAAATGTGTTGAGTTCCAGGTGTGCATGTGGAGTACCATTAGGGAAGAAATTCTGTAAGGGCCACTCACAAGAGATTATGTTCCATGCTATTAGATCCTGCTGTTTCCTAGTCTGCCAACAGCAGTCGCACAGAACATGAGGATCACTGAATCATGGAATGGTCTTTACAATTAAATTCCACTGGAATCAATGGGACAAGTTACAGAAATCTAAAGCAATGCAAATGCTGGATCAACCTCTCACTGACTGGGCATTCTTTTCACGCCATTCTCTAGCATAAGGAATTCTCCTCTCCAGTCTTGATACAAAGAGTTTTAAAATACATTGAGAGCTCTAGCTTAGCCCTGCTCCCTCACAATTCCTTCTCCTACCTGTCGGTCCTTCAGATCAATTTTATTCCCCAGCACAACCATAGGGAAGCCTTGCTCCATTGGAACCACCCTCTGTAGGAAGTCTTCTCTCCAGTCATCCAAGGACTGGAAGGAATCCATGTCCGTGACGTCAAAGGCCAGCATGCAGCCATCGGAGCCTTTGTAGAATGTGGATACCATGGACCGGAATCGTTCCTGCCCTCCAGTATCCCAAATCTGAAAGGAGGACGAACATACAGGCATTAGCGTTAGCAACCTCTGAACTGCTACAGATACTTTCATGCACAATGACAGGTTCTTCCAGCTCAGTGTTTCCCAAACTTTCCCCCGCTGTGGACCACTGCAATTTTAAAAGACATAAAACTGTTACAAAATGGCACAGAGCAATACTAGCATTATCAAGCCCTAAATGGCTTGGGCCCCAAATATCTGACAGAGAGCTCCCTCCTGCATAGATCTGGCACTTCCACCACTCTGTAAAGTTCATGGTCTGTCTGTGACAGAGCCATTTCTGTGGTGGCCCCCAGATTATGGAATACTCTGTCCTCCAAGGGGCATCTGGTCTTGTCACTGTATACAGTGGTACCTCAGGTTAAGTACTTAATTCATTCCAGAGGTCTGTTCTTAACCTGAAGCACCACTTTAGCTAATGGGGCCTCCTGCTGCCGCTGGGCCGCCGGAGCATGATTTCTGTTCTCATCCTGAAGCAAAGTTCTTAACCAGAGGTACTATTTCTGGGTTAGCGGAGTCTGTAACCTGAAGCGTATGTAACCTGAAGTGTATGTAACCCAAGGTACCACTGTACATTTTGGCATCACACTGTATACATTTTTTTTTGGACAGGCCATTGGGTGTGTAAGATGATATCCCTCCCATTTAAATCCAATGTATTATATGGCTTAATTCTATTACACTACATATAATGTCACTCCCACCCCCGGGACACCCATGAAGGATGAATTGTTAAGTATCTACAAAATCAATCCTTGTGAAGTACTCAGAGGTGGTGACCCAAGAGTGCGCTGGTGCCCTGTTTGTGGAATTCCTCCTGCAGAAAGGCCTGCCTTGCACCAGGTGAAGACATTTTTAATTCCCCGGGTTTTTTTACGGGACCGCCTCTCCTGGTATGTCCCACAGAAGAACTTACAGTCTGCAAATAAAAACATCCTGAAGATCCCAGGCCTCAGAGAGGTTAGGCTGGCCTCAACTAGAGCCAGGGCTTTCTCGGCAGCGGCTCCAATCTGGTGGAACGCTCTGTCACAAGAGACTAGGGCCCTGCGGGACCTGACATCTTTCCGCAGGGCCTGTAAGGCAGAGCTGTTCCACCAGGCCTTTGGTCAGGGCGCAGCCTGACCCCCTCCTCTGGCAATCTGCACAGAATTTTGCTTAATGGTTGCCATCAATTTGATTTTAATTAATTTTTATAATTGAAAGGTTTTTAGAATGTTGGATTATTTTGATTGTTGTTAGCCGCCCTGAACCCAGCTTCGGCTAGGGAGGGCGGGGTATAAATAAAATTTATTATTATTTATTATTATTATTATTATTTTATGTATTCTTGGATATTTTAATTTGTTATTTGTATTTTATTTGTGTATAATCTTCTTTGTAAACTACCCTGGAAGCTCTGCTGAAATGCGGTATAGGAATCTTTTTAATCAATCAATTAATCAATCAATCAAAAGGAGCATACAGCACCTGCCATTTCTGAGCACTACTAAAGTAAAGGGTAAAGGGACCCCTGACCATTAGGTCCAGTCATGACCGACTCTGGGGTTGCAGCGCTCATCTCGCTTTATTGGCCGAGGAAGCCGGTGTACATCTTCCGTGTCATGTGGCCAGCATGACTAAGCCGCTTCTGGCGAACCAGAGCAGCGCACGGAAACGCCATTTACCTTCCCGCCGGAGAAGTACCTATTCATCTACTTGCACTTTGACGTGCTTTCGAACTGCTAGGTGGGCAGGAGCAGGGACCGAGCAACAGGAGCTCACCCTGTCGTGGGGATTCGAACCGCCGACCTTCTGATCGGCAAGTCCTAGGCTCTGTGGTTTAACCCACAACACCACCTGCATCTCTAGCACTGCTAGATGTGTGTAAAACCAAGCACTTCTACTTCAAGGTATCTCTCACCTGCAATTTCAGCGGGCTGCTGTCCACAACTACCATTTTAGTCAGGATACTAGCTCCCAGAGTGGTTCGGTAGTCTTCGTAAAACTTCTTGTGAACATACCGATGGAGGAGAGAGGTCTTCCCTACACTAGGGTGAAGTAAGAAACACATACGATGAATTAATTCTGATGACTGCTTTCTAACAGTTTCCTGATTTTTATGCTAAAAGTTTAATTTAACATTTGGTTGAATTGTAGATTGTTCTATGTTTACTACTTGTCTGCTTGATTCCTGAATGCCTTGAATCTCTTCTGTAAAATACTTGGGATAAAAGTCTTTTAAAAAAACAAAAGATGCAAAGTATTATTATTTTTTGGGAGTGTGGGCTGCAGGCCAGAACTAGGTGAAGATGACCACTGATGGTCTGCTTCACCTGAACAGATGAAACTGGAGGGAGTCGCTAATATATCCCCTGTTCAAACCAAAGACTTATGACTACAAGATATAATAAAACACTGTTCAATTAGTCTTTGTGCTCAATGCTGGCATTGTGTCATTGTCTCAGTGCTGCATCTATTGATTTTTGTAGTCTGTTCTGCAGGCTGATCTTAACTCTCCAGAGTATAATTTTCTTTAGCCTGCATTTCCCCCCATTCTCTTCTTTTTCTGGACTTAACTATCTAAAAATATGACTGTCTAGGGGAAGACTGTTGGAACCTGTGACCCTCCAGATGTTGCTGGACTGTAACTCCCATCATCTCTATCATTGGCCTATGTGTAGGGGAAAGTATGGGAGCCCTGATGTTTGATATGGTAAACAGTTAAAAAAATTCATCTGTAAAATTAAGAAAATTGGCTTGTCTCAATCTTCGTCCTGTTGACAATCCCTCATATTGTATCATCATCAGTACATTTCTAGTGCAATTAGACCAGAACAATAGCGAAGATGGACACTTGTGCTGTGCTATTTCTCTTAAAACCAGCAAGTAGAAATTCAATTTTCTGCTCTATGAGGGGCTGAGCCGTGTGCTTTGATCTGATATTTTCTCCCAATAGGACAACTACGGTGCATATACCTTTTTCCTAAACTTGATAACCATTGTAATGACTCTTCTGATAAGATTTCTGAGAGGTATTTCTCACAACAATATAACACGGCATGATTGCTGTTATGATATGGTTATGATAGTTATCTCCCAGAACTTAGTGAGCTCCACTGTTGAAGGCCAGGAAATCACTGTCATTGTCAAATTGGTAGAGGTCTCTAAAGATAGGGATTAAAAATGCCACAAAGTGTTGTAACATTTCTAGCTGGGAAAGCCAACATAGGACTTCCAAATTCAAATCCACGCTAAGTAATGGGTGGCCTGGACCATTTGCCAACTCTCAGCCTAGCCCACCTCCCCGAGTCATTGGGAGGATAAAATGGGAGTGGGAGAACCAAATGCTCTCCTTGGCTTCTTGGAGGGTGAAAAAATATAATTAAAATCAACATAACAAAATGAACAGTATTATCATCAACCCAAGGTGTTAAAAAACAACAACACTATTCCAGTGCTTATGTGCAGAAGTAGAACATCTCTTCAAACTGCCTTTTCAAATTCCAAAAGCAAAGAAAACTGCTTACCCTAAAGTGCCAATAATTATTAGTTTCAAATCCACTCTCTTAGTTGAATTCATAAATGGAGCCTAAAGGGAAGGAAGAAAAAAGACATTCGTCAACATCTTGTATCCTGAATCATCACAATGCTATAAATGCTCCATACTCAGGATACCAAAAGCCAGCAAAGAACTCCAGGTATCCGACTGGTCAACTGCCTTTTGTGTCACTGTAAATGAAGCATCCTTGCTTCTCCTTGGATGAGACTCTTTGATTGAGACTGTCCCTTGAGACTTGGGTCCATTTTTAAAATAAAATAAAAATATGCCTAACAGGTTTTCTAGATTCACAAACCCCAGTAAATTATCCTAGTGTCCCCACCAAGTGAGGTGTGGAGCTTTTTCCAAGGTGGCATCTCAGCTCTAGAATGCTCTCCCTTGGGAGACTCACCTGGCTCCTACATGATGCCTATTCCAGTCCCTTCTCATTTTCCCAGGCCTTCTGGCATCTATCATAAAATCTGAATAAAATTTGTGTTAAAAAAAAGTTTTGTTGACTTGCCACTGTTTTAGCTTTCCAGTTTTATGGAGCTTTATATTTTGCAGTTTTTAAAATGTGTATTGTAATTATTTATATTTATGTTGTAAGCCACCCATGAGGGGAGCATAAGTACTGTGCATTTGTGTCTTTGTTCGCATCTGCCCTCCTCCTCCCTCCAATAATTCCCACATTTATGCAGTACTTTCTGCAGCGGTGAAAGGAGAAGGGACCGGGAGCATCTTTCACATACAGTTGACAAGGAGACTGTTGACACGAAAATGGCTCTGAACAAGCCTATTAGTGTTGGTGCTGCAGGCAAGAGACACCCCACTCAGCATCACTGAGCAAAGCCTTTCTCTCTGGGTGCATCACTGCTGCTGTCAAAAACTGCACAGTCTTCTATCCATGGCATGAACTTCTATTTGTCTGCCTGTTGCCCAAGGCTCTATTTTGTGTTTTCTCTGAAACAAGGGAGGAAATTTAAAGCCCCAATAAAGAGGCATTAGAGATAACAAGTGAGTGGAGTATTTTCACTTTGTGGAAGGGTTTGGGAACAATGGCTTGTATACAATGTAGAGCTAAGTAACCATCTGCTACCTCAGTTTTTCGAACAGCTTAGTTCATGAACAACTTGGAACCCGAACACTGCAAAATTGGAAGTAGGTGATCCAGTTTTCGATCTTTTTTTTGGAAGCCAAACGTGCTCCGTTTTGAGTCCCCCTGTGTTTCCTGTTGCGCTGCTAATTTGCGGCCCCCCCTATAATTCAAGCCTTCCATTTCCGATTGCAGTGATCTGAGGTGATATTTGGAGCTTATATTTGGTGCTTTTGTCTTTGCTATTTATTTTGTGTTTTTTGTTTTGAGGCTTTTTCAGTTAATTTGTTTTTGTGACTGTGTGGATCCCAGTTAAGCTACTGATTGATTGATTGATTGATTGATTGATTGATTGATTGTGTGACTGAGGAAATGGATAAAAGCCCCCATCCAAACAATGACTATCATCTGTGCAGATAAGATTTTTTTTTTTTTACTTTTTAATCATCTACAATACTGTTTTATTTATTTTATAGTACAGTACATTGTTTACTGCTTTCATTTTATGGATCAATAATACTATCTTGCAAGATAGTAAAATTCATATTAAATTGCTGTTTTAGGGGTTGTTTTTAAAAGTCTGGAATGGATTAATCCATTTTGCATTACTTTCTATGGGAAAGTGCACCTTGGTTTTGGGATGCTTTGGTTTTGGAACTGACTTCTGGAACGGATAAATTACTGCTACTACTACTAATTTATTTATATCCCTCCCATCTGGGTGGGTTTCCCCAGCCACTCTGGGCAGCTCCCAACAGAATACTAAAAACACAATAAAACATCAAACTTTAAAAACTTCCCTAAACAGGGCTGCCTTCTAAAAGATGTCTTCTAAAAGTCAGATAGTTGTTTATTTCCTTGACATCTGATGGGAGGGCATTCCACAGGGCGGATGACCGAGAAGACCCTCTGCCTGGTTCTTGCCCTCTTCTCCCCTCCCCCACATGCCCCAGGCCCATACCCTTCCCAAATCTGCTCCAGAGGTTTGGGGAGAAACTCAGAACAAATTTGGAGGCACGCAAGGGGAGGAGAGGGAGGAAAAGTCCTGTTGTACAAGTATAAATCCTTGCACAAGCATGACAGTTACTGAGCACTACATTGAATACAGGCCCTTTCAAGCATGTAGGAATGGGAGAAATGACCTAAAGGTTTCTGACTTGCCTGCACTAATTCTCAGATTTTCTTTTTCACAAAAAGACCTTCAGGGCATCCAGCTGTTTTCTCAATGCAGCAACCGCACCCCTCTCTCAGGCACCTTCTCCACCACTAAATCTGTGTAGTAAAAGCCTGCAAAGACAACTGTGGCTGGCGGTGACTCACATCTCCCTTGGAACTTTGGGGTTTTCTTAAAAAAAAACAACAAGCAACAACCGCCATGTCATATCATGCTCTCCCTGCCCTTCCCACTAATTCATTGGGTTCTGATTGTAAAGGGTTGGGTGTGATGTCATGTCATGCGGTTTCCCTTCCAATTTTACACTGTAGATTATAGGGGAAATCAAATGCAGGCTGGTAGCAGCATGATTGGAAGGACAGATCGTGAAGCTGAGACTCCAATACTTTGGCCACCTCATGAGAAGAGAAAGCTCCCTGGAAAAGACCCTGATGTTGGGAAAGATGGAGGGCACAAGGAGAAGGGGACGACAGAGGACGAGATGGTTGGACAGTGTTCTCGAAGCTACCAGCATGAGTCTGACCAAACTGTGGGAGGCAGTGGAAGACAGGAGTGCCTGGCGTGCTCTGGTCCATGGGGTCACGAAGAGTTGGACACGACTAAACAACTAAACAACAACAGCAGCAGCAGCATGATGGCTCTAGGTTGACATTTTGCTAGGCCCTGAGAGCGCCAGCTAGCAGCAACAATATCACAGTGCTAAGGATCTAGTGGGCTGCAAGAAGGAAGCGCTGGAGCAAGCAAGGGCATAGGTAACCCCACACATCCAGGATTTGCAGTGAATGTCACATGGACTTAAAGTGAAACTCTGTTAGCCATCTACCCTAGTTCAGGAGGGGAAAACCTGTGACCTCCACATATTGCTGCACTATAACTTCCATTCTAGCTGACTGTCAGCTACTTCTGGGGCAGATGGAAGCCCAGTAACGACTGGAGGGACACAGGTTCTCCAGCCCTGCCTTAGACCATCATAAGCACAACACAGGCTTAGGAGCCCACCAAATTGCCAATCTTATGATGAGTGAGATCTTCCAAACACAAGCAGCTGACTCACTTTGGATTTCAAAAGAAGGAAGACCCATAATGGCAGCAGGGAACTGTGCTATTATTTCATTATGAAGAAATCATCATCCTCGTCACCACCTCACAGGGCTATTTTTCCAAATATAACTGCTACAGCAACCCATGACATTGCTCAAATTTCACCCACCACTTCTGCTCCAGACAATGTTTGGCAATGACAACCCAGTCATTTGTTACGTGGGTAGATTCAGCCTTCCCACAAGGTCACAATTGTTACCAATGGGATTTACATAGAACTGGATACAAACTCCTTTTGTCTCTGGCATGCTTCTCCCTTTCATTTAGGCCAGTTCCATGTAGGGATACTATCTCTCTCCCCCAGCTTTAATAGTAATAATAATAGTTATGCAGTTACAATTCGTTGGCAGATCTATTTATACAACAGACAACCTTGCTTACTAAAAAAATAAAAATAAAACAGAATTGAAAAGAAAGAAACTGGCATTTGTTGGGGGGAGGATAATATAACATATATTCATGACAATACAGTGTCATGGATAGATTAAAAGGAAATATATCATTTATTCCAGATATGTTAAACCAAAACCCATTTCTCAATAAGTTTGTTTTCTTGATTATTATGAATTGCATTTTTCATCATTACTATAGTTTGTCAGGTTTTCATTAGCCGGTTATGGTAGAGGGATCTTTATTTTTCCATTTTTGTGCAACACAGTTTTGCTGTCGTTAACAGTGAAGTAATAAGCTGTAAGTCAGTATTAATGCTCTCAGAGCACACTACCAGAAGAAGAGTTGGTTTAGGGTTACCTAGGAGAGCACAACCTGTGCTTATTTGTATAATGTTCAGTACTTCCATCCAGAAAGATTTTTTTGCAACTTCTGACAATATATATTACATCTGCCAGAATTCCATTGCACCTGCAGCTGTGCACGTTTTGACTGAAAAAAGTTACAAATTCTGGGTTTAGTGCAATGATGAGTACCTGTGGCTCTCCAGATGTTGTTAAGACTTCAGCCCAGTTACAGAAATTTGCATTCAGTATGTAATTACATCCTAGCAATGTCAAAATGATGTTCGGAAGAGACCGTGTGGTATAGCGGTTAGAGTATTGGACTAGGACCTGGGAGACCAGGTTTTGAATCCCAAGGTCAGTCACTGCTTCTCAGCCTAACTTACCTCACAGGGCTGTTGTGGGGATTAAATGAGGGGGAAGAGAACCATGTACGTCACCTTGAGCTCTTTGGAGAAGAAACAGGAGATATATAAATGCAATTAAAAAATGTACAGAAGTACAATAGGTGAAGGTTTCACCAGTGCTGCATTGCCATGCTAGGAAAAGCTGCACCTGTTATTCTCTGTTTCCAAAAGGGAAACAGGTGGGGTGGGGGATGAAATACAAAGAATGAAAGAAACGAAAGCCATCTCTGTATGTTTATGTTGTGCAGGTGTCAGCTGAGAAGGGCCCTGTCTGTTAAGATCTTCATACCTGCATGAGAGATACCAAAGCTACAGAGATTTTATCTATAGTCTTTTTTCCTTTGTGTGCTTATACACACGTGAGTGTGTTTATATGGCCAGCTTTTTGTGTATGCCCAAACACCTGCACAACAGGCAGAAATGAGATGGCTTTTGCTGATATGGCTACACAGTGATCTAATCATGTATCATTATGTGTTGTGTCAGAGGAAGGCTGTAGCTTAGTGGTAGAGCCCCGACTCTGCATTCAGAAGGTCCCAGGTTGAATCACTGGCCTTTCGAGGTAGGCCTGGAAATGTCCCCTTGGCTGAAATCATGGAGTACTGCTGTCAGGAATATTGCTGAGCAAGATGGGCCAATGGTCCGACTCTTTATAAGGCAGCATCCCGTGTTTCTATTATATATGCCGCTATAAAAGGAACAGCAGCCTTGCCAGGAGAAACATGGGATTCTAATTTCAGCAGTAATATATTGTACTGTTTATGATTATGCTGTGCTGGCCGCATATACAGGCCAACCTTCCCCCTTGGGTTGAGTGACATGGGGGGCTCTGTAGCAGCAGACAGAATAGGCTTCCTCTTTCCAGCAGTGCATTTGTACCTGTGCTTCTCCATTAGGCTTCTCATGCCAAGATATATCTTGCCGTTAGGATGGAAAAGAAGACGGGGCTCTTGCACCTTTAATAACTATAGAGAAGATGGATTTATCAAAGGTGCAGGTGCTCCATGCTCTTTTGCAATCTGGAACCCTGTCTTCCCTCCCTATCTCTCCTGCTTGAATTGTTTGCTCTTTCCCTAATTTCACAGCTATGGCTTCCTGGACAACAAATTTCCACTAACTTTTTTAAGTTCCCACATCTGTAAAATGGGGATAAATGCCACTGTTCACGCACAGTGTTTGTTTCAAAGAAAGCAATGAACAATGCCAGTTTCTCTTTCTTTCTTTTTTCCCTTTCGCACTGACTGCCTTTAACACAGCCACATGACACACAGGTATGAATCAGGCAATTGGTTTCCCTGGCACAGAGGTGTGGTTGGAAAAGCTTAACTTGCCTATGGCGCAATCCAAGACATGCCTTGTCAGAAGCACCATGAAATTTAATTAGTCTTGACACCTCAGTTTAATTAGTCTTTTAGCCTCAGTTGTTATGTAGCTTTGGTGAAAGTCGCAGAAACAGCAAAACGAAACCTGGCAACCCAAAATCACTTCTTTTTCTGAAAGCAAATGCCTTAACTATGCCACAGATAAGAATCTTATTTTTCCTTTTTTTAATCATTTCAGTGTGTGTGTGGGGGGGTGACAATAAATTTTCCACACCGGGCACCACCTGACCTTGCTACGCCACTGCCCATGTCCCTTATTAAATGGAACAATGATCACTTGCTCTTGCAGCCCGCACTTTCTCATCATAAGTCCCGGGGCATATTATGTGTGCCACCCTCCTGTGGCTTTATTTGTGACTCCATATGCACCCAGACAGTGCCTGGAAATAGCCTTGGGCCTATTTCGCCCATTGTGCTGCACTGGCTGAGAGGCAGCCCAGCTCCTGCCCAGAACGCCAGATGTGAAAGTTGACCGCTGGGCTCAGATCCCTACATTTCCCCCTAGTGTTGTTCCCCCACCCTCGCCTTAAAACTATCCTTTGTTGTTAAGATGCAGCTCGCATGAGCAGCAGGCCCAGCCCTGTTCAATTCCCCTTTATTCGGTGAGTCACAAAGAATGAGATCTTCCAAAAGCAGTTGTCCCAGGCACGAAGGAGTGCTTCAGTGGAACCTAATACTTCCCCCTCTGCTCCACGTCTAAGGATTTTTCTGCTGTGAGCGGTGGAGAAACGGGAGAAGAGACAGCCGCTCTTTCTTCGCCCGATCACCTATTCCACATGCTGGGGTAGATCTCCCCATGCAACCTCCCTAGATCTCCTCCGTCAACTTCTTAGCGAAGTTCACCCAGCTCTGAGCCGGTTCTCTCTCTGCCTGCTCAGGCACGAATCTCGCCCCTTCTTTGTGCTTCAAGTTCGGCGTTGCAAATGAATCCGCCTGCGCAGCAGCTGGGCACTTAACTTGTGGATCCCAGTGGATCTCCTGCCATCTGCCACACGCTTGCTCCGTTTGCAGGCGAACCGTTTCGAAAGGAGGCTTACATAAATAGAGGACAACAAGAAAGGGGACTTACTGGTCTTCCTCCTCCGGCGTGACCCGGCTTTTTTGCAGAGCTGCGAGGTCTGCTGCCCGTGCAAACTCCTCGCGGCGCCTCCCGAGAGCGCGCAGAAGAAACGCCTTTGGGGAGGGGGGTTGAAGAAAGGACAGAAGGAGTTCAGAGCAGGATTCCTTCCCACCGCAGATCCCTCGAGCGTGGGTCTTCTTTTTCTCCCGTTTCTCTTTCCTCCCAGCCCCCACCCCAGTGGGAGGGCTGAGGCAGAAAGAGGCCGTCCAAACATGACAAGAGTTTGCAAGAGGGTTGAGAGTTTGAGAGACGCGCACCAAAGTCTGCAGAGTGCAAAGCATAGGGAAGTAAGCAAGTTTGCTCGGAAGTTTTTCCCACTCTCTGGAGCTTTCTTGGTATTAAGTATGGTTAAGGATCCAGCTTGGAAATTGTCCAGCGGTGACTGCATAAGCTAAGAATGCAGTAAGAAAAGTGAGCGGGGGGGGGGGGGGAGATGCCGCAAAAGAACAGTATGCGCTACTTTCTGGTGTAAATGGATTTGAGCGTGGAGTGGTTCAGTCCACACACAGGTTAGGTTCGCTTCTCCTGGGTGTTAGTCCTTATAATACTTCATTTTTTTTTAATCGTTCAGTTTTGTTTTTTTCACCTGCTCGTTCCTCAAGTCTGCAAACAGTAGACCTTGAAGTGAACCATACTTCATCATTCTTGGGGTGCTTCCAGATGGGTCATTTATTGTAGTATAGCCATAGTTCATTCATTCACATTTATTAGAGGTGAGACAGGGGTGTCCAGATGCTATCACCTCCTTTTGTAATCCTCCCATGTTTCTTCTGGGTTTTTCCCACTGTACAGTGGAAAAGCTGTCTTTTAAAAATAAAACTCCACAGCTCTTTTGAGTGGTGGGTGTCTGACTCCTGCCCTGACACTCTAGCATTGCATTTCCTAATTTTCAGAAGAGATCCAGTTTACAGTTTCCACCATTGCCAGACCTGCTTTTTGTTTTGCTTTAATAAGTAGCTGATAACCCCAATGGCCACAGGACCATAGGATGCTAACTGTTCCATTTAGTTCATCCTCACCCTCACTGACTGGCAGCCTGGATCTATCCTGTCTGCATGTGACAGGAACTGAACTGGGACTTTATGAATGCAAAGAATGAGCTCTGCCACTGAGCTATGGCTCTTCCCCTGAAGGTGGCACCAGGAGGCACTGGATCGGCTTGACATTTGGGAAGAGGAGAAATCCCTTTCACTCTGTTTTTGCCGCTGTTACTCCCAAAATACTGCTCTCTTGCAGTGTACATTTTGTTCCAGTCCTGTTAATTCTGCATAACTTTAGAAGAACAGGCGCATTCTCAGAGGTCGGATACTGAGGTATTAGCCCATATATCTGAGAACCAATGTGGTTCTTCAGTGATATAGGAAATAGACTAAGCAACAAGATGGTCACTTTTAGCTTTGTGCCATGAAAAGCTCCATCTGCTGATTTCTGCACATTTTTTGGTTGGTTGGCAGCCATAAACACAGATTCTAATAACAGTAGATAACAAACAAGTTCTGCAGGTATCTACTTCAGTGCTTACTGAAGAAAGGACTGGCTTCATGCCTGAGGCACTTGATTACTAACAGAAACGTAAGCAGATTCCTTTACACCTACCATGTTCCAAGACACCTCTCCCATAGTTGTGAACCTTTGGAAAACTCTCTTTTATTTACGTACATATTTTGCCAGCTTCCTTTACCTGGAAATTGATTCAAGGACAGAAACATTGAACACATGACCTCTGGGTGATGAATACCTGAAGCGTTGCTATAAAATTGTAGGAAGAAAAATTCTTCCCATTCTTCAATAAACAATGCAAATAAACTTTTCTACAGATCTTCCAGTTAGCAGGATGGGGGAATATCTGTGTCATACACAGCTGTCAATAAATTTGCCTCTTGTTGAATCCTTCAACTTCCTGATTACATTTCCTTTTATAGCTGTCTTGCTCAATCAGCAGGGGCCTGCAGAAGTTTTCCTGATTATAAATTACAATGACACAATCTTTGGGAGACACAGCAAAGTAGATTTGCTTGTTTATTGACTTTCAGCTTGCGGGGATATAAAGAGTAAAGTAAGCATAGTGCTGGCATGTGACTCTCATACCAAGAAACCCCAGCAGTAAAAATGAGCAAAGCAATTTATGAGTCAGAACTGCAAAATCATAAGGTTGGCCTAAAATTCACAAGACTTCTAAAACAAATATTTCTATCTATAAGCTCATCTCGCTTTTTAATGATACTGCTTCTGGGAACCTAATTTGGATTGTATTTGTCCTTAAAATACCTGAGACAAGGCTGAGGTTTGGTTTCCATTTTATTGATGATGAACTCAATATAGGATGTTAAAAGAGGAAAGTAGTATACTGGATGTTGATCAGGAACTGATTTCCTATGGCTCTCCAGGTGTTGTGGACTAAAGCTCCCATCCTCCTTGACCATTCACCCTGTTGGCTAGGGCTGATGGGAGTTAGAGTCCAATGCAGGAATTACAACTAAATTTCATTTGTTATTTGAACACGTGGGAACAGGAAACTCCCTTATATTGAGTCAGATAATTGGCATGGCCGGATCGTTATTGTCTGCATCAGCTTTCCCTACCCTGGACTCCAGCTCCCCTCAGACCATGTCAGCATGGCCAATAGCCAGGGATGATGGGAGCTGTAGTGTGACAACATCTGGAGCAGGTTAGGAAAGACTGGTTTACACTGATTGGCAGCAGCTCTCCAAGATTTCAGAGACATGGTGAACAAATCAGTCACTTTCAGTTTTTCTCAGTTTTCCAGTCTTACGTTCAGCTCACCCCATTTCTATATCTGTTGCATTTTAGTTATTTTTTAAAGGGGAGATCAGTATAAAAATAATTATATTATACTGCATCTGCATTGATAACTTGCAGGCAGGTAAACATGTAGATTTCTTCCTTTGAAAAGTATTATGCTGAAGGAGATATCAGTGGTATTATGTATACGGGTTATGAGCTGATACAAACATGCAGAAGAAACATGTTACAGACCTTCCTTGACTGTACCACTTCAGAATGTAGGTGGGGGACATTGCTTGTTAAACTTTCTAGTGTATCAGACAGCTGGAATCTGGCCTAGCACCCAAGTTCCCTGTAGAGAGTTTTTGAAATAAAGTGTTGAAACAAAGAAAAAACTGAAACAAAACCCATCACCTCTTTACCATTGTTATCTATGTGTGTGTGTTTTTTTTAAAAAACTTCTGAATTGGCTCTTTGACTATGAAATTGCATGATCTGCTATAGGTTGCTGAAGAGGCAGATTGCAGCTGTGAATCACAGTAGTTATATGTTTTGACGTGAGGATTACTGAAGAGTCATGAAATCCTTCAATCTCGCTTCCTCTTTGAGCTTCTGATGTTCTTAAGGACAGAACCAGAAGTGATTTGCAATAAACTCACTTCTGTTTCCCAGTAACATTCAGCTTCACTTCCCAGTGAAGACAGTGAATGTCCTGTGTGTCTAGAGGCAGTGGAAGGATGGATGACGGCTAATGGATTGAGGTCAAATCCTGACAAGATAGAAGTTATTGTTTCTGGGGGACAGAGGATGGGCAGCTGTGGGGGACTCCCTTTTCCCAAATGGTGTAACTGTGCCACTAAAGGACCAGGTGCGCAGCCTGGGAGTCATTTTGGACTCACAGTTGTCCATGGAGGTACAGGTTAATTCTGTGTCCAGGGCAGCTGTCTACCAGCTCCATCTGGTACGCAGGCTGAGACCCTACGGGCCTGCAGACTGTCTCACTAGAGTGGTACATGCCCTGGTTATCTCCTGCTTGGACTACTGCAATGTACTCTGTGTGGGGCTACCTCTGTAATAACTGTTCTTCCTCCCATATGTTGTTAGGGACAGATGACCTGCTCCCACTCCCAGGAGCATGGCTGAGCCAAAGACGCTTTGCTCTCTCAAATGCTGGCACTGCCTTTACTGGAGAGGTGCACTCCAAAATTCTATGTAGCATAGAAGGGCCCCAGCTGCTCCTCTCTTGTGTATTTAACTGCTCATGTGAGCACACAGTGTACCTGTCCATTGGAGCAGAACTCACAGAAGGTTGCAGTTCAGTTTGCTTAAGGATGATTTTTCAAGTACACCCAGAAACTGAACTGCAGTCTTTAAAGGGGTAGACCATGTGTGAGCAGGTATCTGCACAAAACATTTGGTGAAGATAACAAAGAGAAGATGAGTACAGTGCCTGGCAGTACACTGATGGGGGTGAGGCATCGGGTGGAAGTGCTATACTAATAGTATTTCAGTTGAAGCCGGGACATGTGGTCCTTGAAAGTATTGAGATCTGAGCCTTATGTTGATCCATTTCTGGAAAAGGAATCCTTTGGGAAAATTAAATATAGCCTCATAATGATGTGCAACAATAAAAGGGTCAGTTAAGTCTTACTCATAGCAGACCTTGAAACTAATGGGCCTAACTTAATCATGTTAATTTCAATAGGTCTGCTCTGAATAAAATTTAGTCAAATGCCACCCAAAATCTCTTTAAATAAGGATTGGTGTTCCAAGCCTGTCATGTCATGAACAGAAGCTTTCTGTATACCTCATTGTCATGGGAGTCGGTGAGGTGGATTTTCAACCTGATAGGGTTATCAGGGGAACAATAAGCCTGCCTTTCCTCTGGTCCCAGTTTCAAAGGAAAGGAAATGCCTGTAGTTAAATAGAATCAAAGCCAAAAGTGCAGGCTACACATTCAGCTTCATATCCATCGGGCCTTAGTTCCTTATCTGCTGCCTTCTGTGATATTCCCAAGATGCGTCCTGCTTTTGTGTCATGTACACTTTCTTAACACAAGAGTAATCCTTGACTTTAGCATCAGACCAAACTCTTAGGAGTTGTTGTATAAATCAGGGATGCGCGCACTAGTAAATATATTAACGCCCTCAAAGTCCACCTGCTAGAGTCAGATGCAAAATAGTAGATCAGCATTTAGAACTGAGCTGGAAGTCCTCATTCACAAGCTTTCTTCATTTTAAGTGCCTAAATTTTTTTTAAAGCCCATTTGTTGTTCCTATTGTTAAGCAATTAGGTGTCAAAACTCTTACATCTTACATCTTTCCTGCATATCATCCTGCAATATAACAGTAAATTCCCATCTTATCTTTCTTCTGCCTTTGAAATGTGAGAAATAGCATTCTTCAATCCTGGGCGCTAGTTAGCCCCTTGAAGAACATTAGCATTTTTAAACATATTTTTTTGTAAACCACTTGGAATTTTAATTTAAGATCAAGTGGTGTAGAAATGTTATGAAGTAACTAATCAAGCAAGCAGTTCTTTTATATTTAGGCCAACATACCTTGCTGTCATCAGATGTTTTAAAGATGTGCTAAGACGCAAGTTAAATTACAATAAAACTGCTACAAAATTCTTCTTGGCAATTTTATTCATTTATTTGTTAAGTTCATTACCTGCAGAGCAAATACGGTGGCCCCAACCAAATTCAATAATGAAAAAACCACAGTATTTTAACTAAAACATTAAAGTCATTATAATCATAGCAGAATCTGAAGCAGCAACACCAGTAACTGGTCTGGGCCTGACATGTTACTTCCAAATAAGGAGATGATCTGTATCTGAATGGGTGACTGCCCGTGAACCGCATGAATGCGTCCCATGAGAGAAGATAGGCAGGATATCAATGTATGTATGTATGTATGTATGTATGTATGTAAATAAAATGTTTATAGAAGCCAAAGTATTTCTCAAAAGTCCAAGTTAGAAACATTGATGTTGACCAGTTGTTCCTTGCCATGTAGCAAAATTAAAACCATCTGTTGGTATTCAACTACATTTTTTCCAGCAGTGCAAATATTAGTGCTAGCACAGCAGGACTTTGCCCCATCTTCTTCCCCTTCAGCCCAGAACACACCACCCCCAAATCTGCTTTGGGGGAATTGGGGGAATTCCCAAAATAAATTTAGAAGGTGCAGATTAAGAGTGAGAAGAGGGGGAGAACATTCCACTGCCCAAGAAGAAATCTTTGAACTTATGGAATGTTCTCCTTAGTGCTACAGTGAATGCAACCCATTTAAATTAGGTGTTGAATTGTGATACTTCATCTAGCCCTGTATTATTCTTCCTTTCCAGAAAAACACCTAGATAACATCAGCATTGCAGGAACCAAGTATTATTTCAGGAAGACAGAAAGCACTTTATAAGGGGACTCCGTTGATTAAAGAATTGTTAATTAATCCCCTGTCTTTTGTTTATCTGTATAAATTTAAAAACAGTTGCATTTTGTGAAAACTTTACTATAAGGTGCCTTTTGAAATATTGAAAAAAGTGATATGAACAGTTCAAGAACTTACAATGTAATGAACACAATGCTGCCAGTTAAAAATTAACTACCTACCTCCACTTTCTTTTACAGTAACAAATCCGAAGAACAACAGCAAAGCAAAAAGGCATGCCAATTTAAGTAATTAAGGGCACAGTCTCATTTTCTCTTTGTTGCATGAGAAGGAAGGGAACGGGAATCTCATGCGAACAGGTCAATCAGTGATTGTGACACTAGAATCTGAATCTAGTATTGATCAAAGTGTTTGTTCAAAAATAGAAAAGAAAACCTTCAAGTGACATAATAGAGCCTGGTGCGTTGACTCCCATACTTCCCAAGCGTCTTACAGGACAGCAGGAGCCAACCCCACTCTGTTATTTCCACGGTCAAAGACAGAGTAGTATTGGCCAATGAAAACATCGCCCAGAATCCAGAGCGGTCCAGCTGGGGGTTGCATGTCTAAGCCCTGGAATCCGCTGGTGCAGAGTGCCATCCCATCGCTATTCTCCTAATGGGGAAAGAAGCAATTATAGATGTGAGGGCAAACAATATTAACTTATCAGGGAGCAAATCATTCCCAATCCAGGATGCCAACATTCTGTACACAGAATAGGAGTTTCATCCATTGAACTGAAAATGCTTTGCTACAGGCTGTATTTACCATTTTATATTTTTAAAAGGCAAATAAAGTGGAAGCACTGAGAGCACCACAAGGCAAGGACAAATCCTGATGGCCAGTTTGAAACCCTACTGGTAGCTTCTGGTTCCTATCTGCAACACAACCCACAAGGTCCTCATGCTCATGGGTTGGGAGTTAGACAGGATAAAGGAAAGTAAGTTGCCTGGAGCTTTCTTTCCTTCAGTTTGGGTTCTGCTTGTTTTGCTGTATTTCATTTACCTAAGCTAGAGAGAAGTGAGGCAACTGGACTCAGAGAATGCATGCTGTGTCCTCTGACACCCTTCAAGCCAATCACGCTCCTCCTGGTATCCTTTCACTAGGAAGGGGGTTTCCCTATCACTGATAAAAGGATCCAAAGGGAGCTAGGGTTGCCTTCCAAACTCAATCTTCCTTATGCATCCTTTCAATGGCAAGGGCACCTTGCCACAAACACACACTCTTAATTGTGTGTGCACATGCCCACACCTTGTGAATTATTATGTATCATCATTTACTTGTACAGATTAAAATTCCCCCTTGACATATAAGTAACAAGCATGCATGGAAAGCTGTGGCCCTTTCGTCCCTTCTTAAACTGTTTTGATTGTAGAGTTCAATTAAAGAGGGTTAATAGGTAACCAATTGTCATTACACAATCCAAGCTATGCAGCCCTAGGAGTTCTGCCACAGTTCTGTTTTGTTTTGACCTCTTTGATGCATGATCCCTGTACAGACTTTTCTGAATCTGAGTTCATGGAAAAGTTTCTTAACGAGGAAACTATTATTCCGAAAGAAGAACTGTTCTCGTGCCTCTTTCCTCAATGTGGAGCTAAAGAAAGATCTCACAAAACTAGCCCAGACTTCCTCACAAACGTCAGGCATTCAAGTCTTGCAGAAGAGGACCCAAGAGAAAGAGGACTTACCTGGAGGGTGTAGGCCTCTGGGGAAAGAGTGTAAGGGATCCCATTGATTGTGAAAGTAACGGTAGGCATTACGTTCAGGTTGCTGCATTCCATGGCATACTGCAAAACAATGGAGATGCTTGCAATGTTCCAAATACAGATTTTTGAAGTAAAACCAACTAACGAAAGAATCTAGCTATGCAATTTTGGGAAGGGAAGTCTGCATACAGGAGAAGAAACAATTGGATGCATTCTTTCTTGCACTGGGTCATTTAAAGGTATGTGCATGTAAAGGCATTGCCTCATAAATATACATTTCAAACTGCATAAGGGGGGAAATGCTTGGAAGTAACAAGTTATAACAGAAAAAACTGCTGTCAGTGAAAAGGTTACACATCCCCTTTCCTCCCCATCTGTATTTCAGCAGCATGTGGCAGTGGAGGAATGAGGCTCATGAAGTGATCCTCAATATGAAAATTAGGGGGTTACAAGCATATCCCTATTTTCAGCTGTGAAATATTAGACCAAGCTGCATGATTCCCTGGGTTTTGGCCATTTTCAGTTTCACGTATCTGACTGATTTTCATGACAGCTTTCTCCCAAAGAACTTCCTAAATTCATCTGGGCTGTCATTTCAGAGAACTCACCCGCAAAAACCATCTCCTTCCTCCAAAAAAAGACCCTCGCTTGGAAACTGTATTTAGCAGACACTTATGAGTACTTGACACGGGTGGCGCTGTGGGTTAAACCACAGAGCCTAGGACTTGCCAATGAGAAGGTCGGCGGTTCGAATCCCCGTGACGGGGTGAGCTCCCGTTGCTCGGTCCCTGCTCCTGCCAACCTAGCAGTTCGAAAGCACGTCAAAGTGCAAGTAGATAAATAGGTAGCGCTCTGGCGGGAAGGTAAACGGCGTTTCCGTGTGCTGCTCTGGTTTGCCAGAAGCGGCTTAGTCATGCTGGCCACATGACCCGCTGTCTGCGAACAAACACTGGCTCCCTAGGCCAATAAAGCGAGATGCGCGCCACAACCCCAGAGTCGGTCATGACTGGACCTAATGGTCAGGGGCCCCTTATGAGTACTTAAAGTGGCATGTCAAATGCAGTACAAAGTAAACAACAACAACAAAACACCTAGATGGGTATTAATACGGATGGGCAGATCAGTCAATTTCAGTTTCTCTCAGTTTGCAAACAAACAATAACAAATTAATTAGCCCTCATGAAAAGCCATCAAGATTTTAGTGAGGATTTCCCCCAACATACACATTTTTCTGTGTAATTTGTATAAGATATATATTTTTGCAAAGCAGTTTTCCCCAATATCATGCATCTTTGCATGTTATTTTCACTAATAGATGCATTTATAAGCACACTTTATACTAGTATGTGCATTTTCATACACATTACAGTGATACCTCCGGTTACAAACTTAATCCATTCCGGAGGTCCGTTTGTAACCTGAAACCGCTCGTAATATGAGGCTTGCTTTCGGTAATGGAGCCTCCCGCTGCTGCCATCCTGCCAGCGCGTGACTTCCGCTCGCATCCGGGGCAAAGGTTGCAACCGGGAGCATCTACTTCTGGGTTAGCAGAGTTCGTAACCCGCAGCATTCTCAAGGGGGGACGATATATAACATGAGGTCGCAAAACTGCATTGCAAAATTCAGAGAAGTGTGAATTCAAAAAAGGATGCCTGTGTTTCTGATTCATGCTCTTTTGGAAGGTGCCAATCAGGTCAATTTACCTTTAAGTGTGAACTGGGCCAAATCCCAATCCCCCAATCCCTAATGATGAAGGAGGAAAAGCAAAGGAGGACCAGGAGGCCCTAAAACCAGCAAAAAGTAAAACAGAAGTGCAGAGAAAAGTAAAACAGAAGTATAGAGCTTGCTCTAGATGTGTGCCACTCCATCAGAGATGCTGTGGTAAGTTTCTTTTCCAAATCAGAACCTACCTCCCCATCCATAGGTACTGCTCCAATTAATGTCTGCATTCCCTTTATATCTTTAGAAGGACCTGTGATGAGAGAAGTCCCTGTGTCCACTATAGCTTGGCATCCTTCTGCACAAAATTCAATTGTTCCACCCACCTGAACACTGAAAAGAAGGACAATGAAATCAGCCCTGAATAAAGGGTGTGGATGGTTGCTGCTCCAGCAGAACTGCATTGCTGCCCTTATTGCCTATCTTATTATATGGTAACCTGACCAGAATACTCTTTTCCTGGATGTGTGACTGCTATATCACATGTCTGTGTTTACTTTCCAGGCTTGGAAAGTGTGAGAATGGAAGCCAGTCTTATCTCTTCCATTTGTACTGTTCTTTTGTACTTCTTTACTCTCTCTCTTTTGGAGAAGAAGTGAAAGGACGCCATGATTGCTTTGTCCTGTATATATTGCTTAATAAATACTTAGAATGCACACACCTACACTCCACGTCGTTTCTGCTATGAGTGTTTCTGCTATGAGCGTTTCTGCCATGAGCGTGCACATAGTCTTTTGATATGTGTTGCTGGTGTGCATGTCCCAGGCTGCACTTCATCAGGAAGATGCCTGGAGAGGTCTGTCTCATTCCGGGAGCTGCGTGGGCATGTTCCCACAGACCAGAATACTCTTTTCATTTTTAATGGCTGCCATTTTCCTCTTGGCTTTTCACTCTTTGCAGCTGTATCCATCTAGGCCATGTGTAGGCAAACTAAGGCCCAGGGGCCGGATCTGGCCCAATCGCCTTCTCAATCTGGCCCGCGGACGGTCCGGGAATCAGTGTGTTTTTACATGAGTAGAATGTGTCCTTTTATTTGAAATGCATCTCTGGGTTATTTGTGAGGCCTGCCTGGTGTTTTGACATGAGTAGAATGTGTGCTTTCATTTAAAATGCATCTCTGGGTTATTTATGGGGCATAGGAATTTGTTCACCCCCCCAAAAAAATATATAGTCTGCCCCCCAACAAGGTCTGAGGGACAGTGGACTGACCCCCTGCTGAAAAGGTTTGCTGACCCCTGATCTAGGCCCTGGGCAGCTGGTAAAGATCAGAAGATCCATAAGAGACAAACAAGATAATGCTTCAAATGCATCTTTGTATTCTGAGGAGTATGGCATGCAGGGGATTTAACCCTTTCTCTTGCTCTGTCTTCCCATTGAGAATCACCTCCTGAAGCTGCCATTTTTGTCTTTATCTGTTTTGGAGACTAATGGCAGCTTTGGATGTTACAGGGGAAAGGACCACATCATGGTCCCAGTCTGGACTGGAGGACCCCCATGGCTGCATATTGGAATTCCAAGACTCTAATAGATATCACCCAAGCAATGAGCTACTAAGCTTCAAAACTACAGGCAGCAGTTGCCTCCTTTACATAACTGGGGAAGGTAGCCTGGAATTTCTGCACCCAAGGCAATGGTCTAATAACACTTTCCATCAGTGCAAGGATATCTGCTTGTCAAAAGAACTTCCCCCCTCCCCCCTCCCCCACCTGTTCTGGGGGTTCTCCCAACCCTCCGGAGCAGATTTGGGAAGGGCACAAGGCACCCATGGGGAGAGAAGTGGGGAATTTCCATTGCACAAGCAGATATCCTTGTGTGATGACAGAGCATGCTAGTTGGATACTGCCCTCAGTTCCCTGGATTTTGGCCTACATTGATGTCAGGAAAGCATATTACTGATTTTCATTACAGCCTTCTCTCTACAAACTTTCCCATCTTTTTCTGTGCTGTCATTTCAGAGAATGCCAACACCAAGAAATAAGAGGCACTTACTTATCCAGTAGAATCTGCCAGTATCCCTGTTTAGTGACTGGAATCCAGTTGAGGCTTCCACTAAAATGGGAAGGATCAAAGCCACCAAAGATCAGTTCCCCTCCTATAGAAGAATCTGGGTTCCTGGAAAAGAATTGGGATTTCCTTTGATGTGGGCCTTTCCATCAGTGTAATTCCACTTTACTCCACTGATATTTCACATGAATTCCCTGCATCTTTTTAATCTCTGCATGTATAAATAGTCACCATCTGCTTGCCTTTTGGTCTCAGTTTTCATTTATTTTATTTAATGCAGATGCTGGCCTTGAAAGACAAGCCAGTGACTGGTATTGTTGGTCATGTTCTCATACCTGTTCAGGTAAACAGAGAATATTGGCAAGTTCACCAAGTTTTGAGCCATCATATTATCAAAGACGGGGGTGACTCCATCCACCGCCAGGGATGGGTAGGCCAGACCAAGGATCCCATCAAATTCTGAATCCAGAAAGGTGTTGCCAGGCTCATTGACACTCTCTGCAAACTGCTGATTGGCTACAGTGATTCCTTCAACCTGGAGGGCAGAAGTCCTACACATTATTTCTCATCCTATGGTCACGTAAGAAACCAGTTATGGTGAAACCCAGAAGGTAAAGTTCAGAGAGAAGGAAACATTTGGGATATTATTATTATTATTAAAATTTATTACCTGTCATTCATCTTAATGTTTTAGGGCTAGTTACAACAATTAAAACACAATGTTAATATCAAAACACAATAGTAAAAAAAAAAGTTTAAAGCCAAACTTAAAATTCAGAAATTATGTACAATGAAAGATATAACAAGGAAACATGAGAAAAGACTGGAGTTGATGCCTGACTACACAGACTCAACCAAGGCCTTGGACTAATAATAATAATAATAATAATAATAATAATAATAATAATAATTGTACCCTGCCCATCTGACTGTGTTGCCCCAGCCACTCTGGGCTGGTGCCAGTTTAAAGTATACCATACTGGGATGTAAAGACTAATTGTCTCAATCAATGTGAGGCAGTTTCATATGCTCAAGATGCAGTAAGTATTACAGGAGAATCTCTTAAGGCCCAAGACATAGTAGTAATTTTCTTTGAACATCCTGATTTATATGAACTAGGAGTGCTGAGCATCTTCTAAGATCAGGTCTTTTGGAGCTAGGAAGAGTTCTGGACTTGAAACCCTGAGAAAAACAAGGATGCCCTCTGCCCCTAAAAGGTGTTCATGTGTGGCCCTGTCTTGTCCAGGTAACACTTCATCATCTCAAAGGAGAACAGGATATGATAAGAAGGCTTTGAGAAGCATAAAAGAAAGAAGTGGGTCTTCTACTCACAGTCACTTGATCCATTCCAATTATTCCCGTCAAGCTACCTGTGCCATATTGAATGGAAAAAGCAGTCCCCACTTCGCTGTAGGTGCTGGATTGTGATGGTTGATACCTGGAGTGTGTAGCTGTGGGGGTTTTTTAAGGGGGGAGGGAATTGTGAGAACACTGCAGGAATAAAAGATGGCATTCCATAACAAGCATATGAGGAACAATATGGAACTATAGCGGCATGAATCCTCATTGCCCAGCCCAGCACATGCTTACCCTCAGAAGTGCCTTTGTGTTCAATCGGTCTTTCTTTCAAGCAAGAATCTAGTGCATTGATGCAGATAGATTCCAATGAAAAGTACTGCATATGTTTTGGGGTGAATCAGGTGATATTTGTTACTGCCTTTTCAGGATGACAATACACAGTCAGTAATTACATCTTAGAGTAACACCTGAGTTATTGGGGCCTGTATTAATCAGTGTGGATAGGTGACATTTGATAACCAGAAACCTGAAGAATGCCCTAGAAATACGCATTGTGAGTAGCCAGAAATATTGTATTAATTATTGTGGGTTGCTTTATTGCTTTGTTAAAACTGAGTTTGCTTGAATTTGGCATCATCTATTATTGCTATTTGGGTAAATGTAAAACACCATATTCTGCATTGCCCTATACATATCCAGGCATACCATATACGCACAAGAATTCTGTGGATATGATTGATGAGTTTCCTAAAAACATTTTTCACTAGCCTAAGTTTTCCAGTTTTGTCAGAAATTAATATTTATTGTACCCAATTTTGTGCCTTAATGGACCTTTTGAGGTTGGGTTTTGCATTCCCTTGCTTAGTGGTTTTGCACAGTATCCACATGACACAGTCCAAATCCAAAGGCAGCCACATATTTTGTTGACTTTTTTTTTTGGCACTGCCGATATGCGTTGCCATACATCCCAGATATTTTGCTGATTTCCACCCAGACACTGCTTCTGACAGTATTCCAGGTATGTCCGGGAAAATCCAACAAGTAACACCCCCCCCAAAAAATCTGTCCATATTAAATTGGGGGGGGGGGAATATGAGATGCAATTCTGATGTGGATGACATCATGTGGATACTTTTATGCAGCACCATTTCCGCCAAAAATTGCTGTGTGGAAATGACCTTGGTCTCACTGAACACAGCAAGACTTACTCCTGAGTTAACATGCAGAAGACGACAGTCAATTATTTTGCATTCACTATTCGACAATTCTTCCAGTGCCTCGCTTATTTACACAATAATTTTTTACTTAGAAAAATCACCCCAAGCTGCTTTTTCCTATCACCATTCCTCAGGGAATCTGTCTGAAAGTATTCTTTTTTTCATCATTTATCATAGTAAATGCGCCTCCCTGTGGTGAAATCATGATCACACCCTGACAAGCAAGAAGAAGTAAGACTTAACACAAGATTTCCATGGCTAATCATTTCCCCTCCGGACTGTTCCTCTTTTTTCCCTTCTTTACAACAGATTCTTCCTGTGCTCATATTCATTTTATAGTAAACACTTTCCAATCACAAGAGAGTAACTTGCAACACAATCAGCAGGGGAGGAAGATAATTTGACTCCCATTTTACAGATGGGATAAAGTACAGCTTCCATATCGCAGCCACCAGACGGAGCCCACTTTACTTTGTATCACACAGAAGCCATGATGTGATGTGATCTCTATCCAAGTATCAAGTTACCACAAACAGCCATATGGAAAGATCGGTGGGAGGTGTAGGGGGAATTGCCTGACCCTATGATGAAGGGCCTGAGTGTGTGTGTTTTTAAAATACGGTTTTATTAAAGCTTTCCATCAAACACAGCTTGCCCTGAGGGCCACATTTCCTCATAAGCAATCTTTCAGGGGCCATATGCCAGTGGCAGGTGGGCAGAGGTGAAGAAGCAGGTGGAGAAACAAGGGAGTCTTATCTCTGTACAGTCAGCTCCATGCAAAGCAGAGGTTTACACAGACATCCCTCCAACCAGGCAAGCAAGAGGCCTGATCACAATTCAGTAACAAGTTCCGGCTGGGCAAAGCACTCGAGGATGGGTGTGGAGCAGGGGTGTCCCCTGAGGGCAAGATAAGAGAGCTCTGGAAGACCTGAGGTTCACCACCTCTGAACTGCATGGTAACAGTTTGCACAGAGCACAGTTTAAAGTGGGTTCTTCATGGGTCTCCATGATATGTAAAATCAAGATGTGATTCGTACATCAGGATACAAAGCGCTTTGTAACCAAGGAACCTGACCACTGCCTTCGCCTCAGGGAGTTGACCCTTACATATCACTTTTATTGCAGCTTATAGTGAATTTACTCTTTAAACACAACCAAAGTCCACCCACAGCCCATTCCTCTCCTCCCACCCCCATCCATACCGCAAGCTTTGCTGACACAGTAAACGGATGGCACCCAGAGGTTGGAGGAACCTGTGTCAAAGAGCACAGTGAAATTCTGAGGAGGATTCCCGATGGAGATCCGTCCAAAATATTCTACCTAGCAGAAAGGAAAAACAACAACATTTCTTTTCCAGGTATTGTGATGGAGAAATACTCAGCACAGCCACAGAAAAGCAGAAGCCTTTCCCAACCTTTGCCCATTCAGCATTTACAATATGCCCCTTTGCACAGACATATGGAATTAGGGACTTCGAAAAAGAGACCTGAACTTTAGCTCTGTATCTTGACCTAGAAGTACACAGCTAATGTGATATACCATCCCAGCTTTCTAACTACAACATCTTATTGGTGGAAAGAATGTGATTCTTTCCCCACAATGCCCCTTCAGATAGAAATAATGCAACAACATTGGGGAAGCATCGCAGAATAGCTAACAAAGCTATAAATCCAGTATAAATCCATCACTAATGCACTATTATTGCACCAGGGACATGTTGCAGAATATACTAGAGGAGCGGCGAGATAAACACCAGTCTGGTGGGACTGAAAGAGAGGCACAGAATTAGATGGTATCCGGGTGGGGTTTGTGATCTGATATGCAGCAGTGGATTTCCTGCTTGTAGCTGTGCTTTGCTTCCTCCTGTGCTGAACTTGTACATTTGTAAATGCCTTAAGTCTCCAGTGATCTCTCCTCCAAAGGAAACCAAAGCTGGGTTAAGTGCTGCCCTTGGAACTTCTCGTTGCTTGGAGGAAGTGGGGAGTACATAAAATTATAATTATGTTCTTCCCCACATAAGGGAAGTAAAATGTAGAAATAATTGGATTCATTACATATATGCATAGAACCCTTTGTCTGAATAGAACCCTTTGTCTAAGACCAGAGCTGCTTTTCAAAGTGGCCCATCAAAAAGAAAACGAATAAGCCAACAGCTTGCAGAGCAGATATATGGCAAGGTGCCATATATTATCTAATTTCTGAATTTGTATAGATTCGGTTGAAGTGGGAGACAGGGAGCTTGTCTAAAGGTCCTTCATGCAAAAACCACACACAACAACAACAATGCAACATCTGTCTCCTTTGTCGTTGCCATATTGCTGCTTCTCATGGTTCCGCTTCAGCTCTTAACTTACATCAAAATAGTTGAGGAGTGGCTCGTTGGCTTCCTGGATAGCCGAGCAGTCCTGGGTGTACTGGATCATATCCAACTTGTGGGCCTTCCAGAACTGAGACAGTTGCCCACGTTCCCTCAAAATCTTCCTCAAAGATTTATGTCTTCTCAGGGGAACTCTGAGGGGAAGCGGAAGAAAATGTAAGTAATGCTGCACTGTAAAAACTAAGAAAAGCATTCTTATGAGGAACAACTATACAGCAGTTGCCACCAACTCTATGGTTTTTATTGCTCATATCTTTAGAACTCTGTCCATGGTGTATTTCTTATGAGTTCACCGCTGGCTTTGTTGTTGTTACCATGAGATAGTTATTGCCTGGTATCAATAGAAAGCCAACCTAGATGAAGTGGCAAATACGTTTCCTGCAGTTGGTCATTATTTGCCATGTATTGTTATGCACTCTGTGGATCCCATTAGCAATGCTCCACACAGTGTGAGATTTGATCACCATGCGCCTTTGCTTTGGAGCATCATTCACCACACATTCTTGGGGCACTTGTGTGCCAGTGTTGGAAGTCTGTGTGCTGTAACAAATTTGGGGCGCTAGTTTTAAGTGTCCTGCCGTTTGCAGGATTGAGCCTCACAGCTAAGCCTTGTGACTGGGCAACGTCTACTGCTTGTAAGAAGAAAAAATAAAGCCAAGGAAATGTGCTTACCTGTGGAATCCACTGGCCAGCCAAATGCAAAACATGAAAAGGATCAACGGCTTCATCCTGGCAGTACAGGTCTTATGCTTTCCTTGACTTGTAACAACTGAACAAAGGCTTTGTACTTATACCCACATGCCCAGCCCAGCCCAGCCCCTGTGATAAAGCTGAAGAAAAATATACAGCAAAAAGGCCACACCACTTAATGTCAATATAACACCTTGGAAGAGAAATGAGTCATTGTACCTGTGTGCCATTCCAGCGACAAAAGATTAGGTGATTTCTGGACACAATCAGGAGAGGGGAGGAATAATGGCACCCACTGGTTATAGGTGTGTATAGATAAAGGCACCAATGTCCCATCTGTGTGTATAGAGTTTCTGAAATTGAATATATATGAAGTAGCCCTTAGTCTTTATGGTGTCACTGCACTTTTTATTACTTTTGGACATGCATGCAATAGGCAAAATTGTGTGCAAAAATATGCATACTTTTGTACATTGAAATGCTGATGAATTTTCACAATGACTTTTTTTAAAGGACATATGTAGAAATGCAGAGAACTGAATTTAAGATTGGAAAAATGAGAAAGCGAGAGAAGTCAAAATTGGCAGATTTCCCCACCCATATCTCAAGCACAGTTTATCTGTCCTGACAGATACAAATAATGTCTGTGCAAAGTTGAAGTACAAGACCGGCCCTACAGATATTCAAAGCCTCAAATGTCAAAATGCAGTTGGCCCTATAGTGCGGTTCTCTTTCATATGACTATTTTTGGTATGCTGATGTTTGATATAATGATTCTTTAATGGGTTTGTAGTTGAAGCATAGTTTTTGCTTATAAAATGTGTCTTGAAGACCTACTCTGTGATCTTATTCACAACATCCTTTGTCATTCATCTCATCTGAAAATAGCCTTCAGCTGGCATCCAAGTTTCATCAGTAACAGGAAACAAAATACCAAAGGAAGTCATGAGGCTACACAGGAAAAAGAACAGTTCTGATAGCAAAGCACCAGATTAGGAACCCTCTGATGCAATGTGGCCTTCATTGCGTGGCGAGTTCCCGCCCCCCACCAGGATAAATAAAGACACAAGACACCAAATTTAAGGTTAAATGGGCAAATTAGGCCACAACTTTATTGAATTCAGGAAAGAGAGGCATTGGCTTAGGCATTGGTCCTATCAACTATCCGGCTCCAGCCCATTTGCTGGAGTCACAGGAAGGGTTAACACCATAGAGGGGGAGTCTCCTGCTGAGGCACGTCAACTAGGAGCTCCCCCAGGTCACCTCTCAGGGGCGTGCCTTTGGCCCACACCTCCATAGGCTTCGGACAGGGCCACGCCCCCCGGAGTCCTTTATCAGACCACCCTTCGTTCACTGGGGGGAGGTGATGGTGTTCCTCCCCCCCCCACATCCTCTTAACCCCTTCTTACCAATGCCTAACCGCCAATGCCGAGGAGTTGTGACGAGTTGCTACGAGGTAGGCGAAAAACCAAATGGCTGTAAATTGCCAATTGGGAAAAATTCCTACCATGCCCCTTGCGGTGGCAGACCAAAGTCCATAGCAAAGTCAGAGACCTACCTAAAGCCTACCCACAGGGAGGGAGGGTGGGAAAACGTGGGGGCTAGCCGGCGAAAAGAGGGCGAGCCCCCTCTGCGCCGGCCCTAAATAGGGCAGGCCACCCCCACCAACCAGCCGATTGGCTGGCTGGGGGGGGGGGGAGACACGGCCGGGATTCCCCTGCTCTCGCGGGGGCTGAAACCAGCCCCCGTTCAAGTGGGGGTGGGCGTGAAGCCCACAACCCCACCCCCTGGGCAGGCCGGAAGTGGCTTTGCCGTCACTGTCAAGCAAATATATTGCCTCTTGCATTACAGGATCTTAGAAAGGTAGATGAACTGAAAAATCACCCAATCAAGCAATCAAAGAGCATCATCTATTCAATATTCCCTTACAGATGCAGCAGGCTCCTCGCTTGCAAAACACTCTCCTCTCCCTATGCAGGGAAGGAGGAGGCAGGCCCTTTGCTACCCAAACAATGGGCTATCCATTGGATGCCCAACATTCATGGATGGTGAAATGTGTGTCTATGTGCATTTTGCTGAATATGTTCCAGGGAAAGGCTAAAATTGCAACTGTTGCATTTAAAGCAGCTTTATATATTCCTGTGTTGTGCTGTGCTGTTCTTTTAACATTGCTGCTTTCTTGTGGCAAATGGACTCACCTGACCTGCAGCACATCTTCCTCACATGCATGTTTACTCCCACCATCCCACGGTCTACCCAATATGTTGAGTGGTGGTGGTAGTGGGGGCTCCAAGATTTGTAAGTTTTTACCTGGGAGAGCAATCAACAGCTAAATCTGTCTAGGTAATACCATCCCAGCCTGTTTTCCCATTGCCTCCCAGGGACCAGAGCACACAGCATGAACCAGTGATGTACCACACAGGGAGCACCAAGCCCACATTCCAAACTAATATGCTCTATTACGAAAGCTTAAGCATCAGGGAGAATTAGAAAGAGAGCGTAAAAAGAAAAGAAAACATTTTATCTTCTAAGTAACCTACACTATGCAGTCTTAAAGAAAGAGAATCCAGAACTTGGGGGGGGGGGGAGCGAGGACCACTCATAGCATTCCTGGTTGTCACACAGACAATGAAAATGGTTGACAGACAGAAGACCCACATATTTGCACCCTTGACACCCTGAAGACCCACATATTTGCACCCTTGACACCCTGAAGACCCACATATTTGCACCCTTGACACTGTTATCCTAATCTTCCTAACAGGTTGATTTATACATGCTTCTCTCTCTCCGCGCCCCCCACTGCCTGACTTTTATTCTCCCAACAACCCTGTGAGGTCTGTTAGGCTGATAAAAGGTAACTGTGAGCTTCATAGCAGAGTGGGGATTTGAACCCAGATCACCCCAGCCCTGGTCCTACACTCAAACCCAGGGGTTGCCAACAAGGCACCCCATGGACCTGCAGAGGCCTTCCTTGGTGCCCAAAGGGTCCGCTCCCTTCCCCTTCTGAAATTAGCATTCTGTTGCAGCTACTAGAACAGCTTGCAGTGTGTGGGTGGGTGATGCCCACAACAATTTCTCTGGTTGGTAAATGTGTCCATAGGCTCAGAAAGGTTGGCAACCCCTGCTCTCACCGCTACAATCATAGCATAGCATCCAAACCCTGCACCCACTGAAATGCTAAGGTGCTCTGAGAATAGGGAAGAAAAACCGAAGCCTCTTCCTCAAGGCAAGACAACTTCTGAGAACTCGGTGGGCAGATTTCATATCTCCTTATATGACTAGCGGTCCCCCCCCATCTCATTTTGTAATCTAACGTTTAGCAGCTATGCAAAGCTGCCTGTGACTGATCTTTGGATAGGGGGTCTTTGTAATTTCCTCTTGCACATTTCCACATTTCTGCGATCATTATCAGCCAGAATAGTAGCTTTCACGCTGCAGTAGGAAATGAATCAATTGCAGATGACTGCCACTGCAGAAGGATCCTTGCGGGAAGGAATCACTACAAAATGGAATTATTCATGATACAGCTAGCAGGGAATGGTATTCTAGAGTGAAGATTGCCTAACTCAGTGGGTAAGTAGAATCTGAAGGAGTCTAAAAGGAAAGGAAATGGATTTCTATGTGAATGCTCTCTGCAACAGCTTTGGGTATAATATTTTCCATTTTTATATGAAGTGTAATCAGTTTCATTGCATATCTGTTTATTTATCTATGTACTGATCCATCTCCCCACAACATATGTGGGAAGCTACTTTATGTCAAATTGGACCATTGGGCCATCTCGTTCAGTATTGACTGTACCAGGGATGCAGAGCCCATGCCTCTCTAAATGTTGCTGAACTGCAACTCCCATCATCCGCTGGCCATGCTGACTGGGGCTGGAGCCCAACGACATGTGGAGGACTGCTGGTTCCTCATCCCCTGCCTATACTGGCTGGCAGCACCTCTCAATGGTTTCAAACAGAGGTGTTTCCTATCTCTAATGAACCTGGGAAGTTTTGTATTACCCCAAATAATCTCCACATCAGATTTCTTCATCTTCATAAAGCGTAACGAATCACAAAATGCAGCTGAAATCCAGGAGATAACACAAGTTGAAAACAAACCTCCTATTGGAAGTGGCTTATACAGAAATGGTGTTTGGTTGACTGTGCTTTGCACTTTCAGTGCAGTGAAATTTGTGGGCGAAAGGCAACATTTGCTATTGATTCCAGTTAGATGTGGTGCTCCAGATGTGGTCTGAATAGTACAGAATAAAGAAGTAGTTTTCATTTTGCTTTCGAAACCCTGATGCAGCTGAACAGGAAGTGAGGCTTTTGAGAAACAAAATTCTGGATAATAATTACAATTAGCACTAAAGCATTTGAGGAGCCAAGATGGAAAATGTACACTGAGACGAGGATCCCCTAAAATTCTAATTTAAGGCAAGAACTAATGGCAAGAGCACCACAGTGGAGCTCCATGGTGCTCACCAGTTAAACTCCCAGAGAAAAATGTAATTGTTGGGAAAGTTGCAATGAGCATTGCATACAAAATGTTGAAACCGAATCAAATAAAACAAAACCTCCCTTTCCATCGGCAGCAAGATTCTTTCAGTGTGATAAATGGAAGACTCTCTGTTCTGTAGAGATCTTGAGATAGTCACTGATAAATGGAAGCAAATGCCCTGGTAAAATTACATTATAATTAATAGCAGCATATAAATTGTGATGAGCCATCACACATTAAAGAAGCTCTTCGTTTTCTTCGGGATACATTTTTTTTTTGCTGTCATGACAAATATTAAGAAAAAGAAATTATGCGTCCATTCCCCCATCTTCATCTTCATCCAGAGCTGCCTAAGATCCTTTATCATCCTCACTAGGGGACAACATCAGAACCCAAGAGCAGTCAAACCTGAGTTTTGGTTCAGAAGTCAGAGACCAAACTCAAGAAAGAACCAGTTATGCATAGCAGTGGGCACTATTCACAAAAAAATTCTCCCTCATTAGCTTCAAAGTCCAGTATAGTTTAGCAGAAAGCAGTAACATACATAAGGCCAATGGATGGTCAAGATCAGGTCCCTGATGGCTGAAAGTGTCAGTTGAGAGTAGCACCTCATCTACAAGATGCTTTCTGCTAAACCTGGCTGAACTGGGATGTAACATTCCCAAGCAAGAACAAATGAACCTTAAGATCTTCAGGGAAGACCTTACTGACTATGCCATCACTGGTAGATTATTTTTAATCCTTTCTTAGTAGCAGGGCACTGACCATCATAAATATTCTCCCATTTGCAAGCACTAACTGTGATGAACTTCAAATTGCATACACATCTGTTCTGAAAGGCTTTCCCTGGCTCTTAAAGTGTGCTTCTATGTTTTTGCTTTTTAAAATTTTTATTACAGGGGATTGTCTTTTAGATGACATATATTTATGGTCCTGTTGTTTACTTTATATTCTCTTTGGTTTAGCTTTTGTAAACCTCCTGGAGAATATTTTGGTATTAAGTGGTTAATAAATATATTTATTAAAACAGTTACATTAAAATTAGAGATTGGGAGTACAAATACCACAATAAGTTAGATAACTAACCTTTCCCTTTCCCTTCATGGAACCCAAACCCAACTGCCTCACATGGTCCAATATTACTGCTGTTCACACATATAATTTCATCCTGATCAAGCCAAATTGTTGGTGCACAGTCTCCGTGCTTTGGTTTTGGAAAGAAGAGTAGTAATAATAATAATAATAATAATAATAATAGTAATAGTAATAATAATATTTCCCCAGCCACTCTGTTTGATGTCCTGATTCACTAATTCTAACATTTAGGATTTGTAAGTCAACACATCAAACAGCAACCCTTCTTTCACATATCATTTTTAATTGTTTTTATTTATTAAAAGTATCATATTGGTCTCATGGTGGGGTACAATAATTCCATCTAAAACACAATTTTAACAAAAAAGATAAAATCCTTAGGTAACATCAGCAATCTTAAAATTACCAGACTATGCTGAACAATTAAAAATCCCTAATGACTGACAAAACAACCAGGTCTTAATCTGGCATCAAAAGAAAATCAGGATTGGTGCCAGTAATATCTCATAAGTGAGGGTACTCTGCAGTGGAGAAAGCCCTCTAATATTACAGGGTGACTGTGAACAGATGGATTGGCTCAATCAGGGTGAAAATGTAGGAAGGCTCAGTCCAATAAACACTGAATTTAGACAGGTTGGAAAATTCCACGTTCTATGTGTGTCAGCCTTTTCTATAAATGAAGCATGAATGAAGATGCATTAGCTAGCCACTGTATCCATCACTATAACTTGAAAAAGGAAGCAAATTGTCTGTTAACTGAGGATCACTTAAAATAATTTAAGTTCAAATTGATTTCCCTCGTGATTCTCTCAGAAGTTTCAAAATGTTATCTCAGTACATGAATATTCAGTTTTGATGAATGTGTTTGGCAATTATTATATGCTCCTTAAAATGCAATTGTCTATTTTGTCTTCTCAAAGGCTGGGAGCCAACAAAGCAGAATGGGAGAATGTAAAGGAACGTTTAGTGCTAATTTCCACCCGTGCTATCTCATGCATGTAATACCTGAGTGTTCACAGAGCTACAACACCCTTAACAAACCACAGTTCCCATATTCTTGGGGTTTGTATGGCGTGTGTGTCAATGGCAAGAAGATGGGGGCCATCAAAATCTTAATTACCATATTTTTCTGTGTATAAGATGCCCCCATGTATAAGACACTGCCTATTTTTGGGGACTCCAGATTAAGAAAACACCCCTCAGTACTACCCGTATAAGACCAGCCCCCATTTTAAGCCTATTTTTGGGGGGTAAAAAACCCTAGTCTTATACACAGAAAAATACGGTACTCTCAAAGTGGTCCCTGCTAAGCCATGAGCATTCCTTAGCTTGTGTATCTAGACATGGTCAGGCTGGGGGAGTGAGAAAAGTCACCTCTCCACTTAGACATGATGGAGGCCCAGTGGATATTCTTAAAGGCACAAGCAAGGGCAGGGCACATCAGTGGGACAATGTATAACAGTTTGAATTAGTTCTATCAATTTCAGAGCTAGCTACAAGCACGTATGTTTGTTTTGATGCATCTTCTTTTTCTTGCTAGGAGTCTGAGCAACTCAGCAGTTGCAGGAGGAGCTGTGGGCTTGTCCAGACACTTTGCCAAAAGAATGAGTGAGGAGTAAGTTAGTTTGTGTCAAGGAGTTATTGCACAGATCATCACAGAAATCCTCTTGGATAACTCTTGCTATTTGGTAGAATTCAGTGTGGCACTACTATGATCGTTCTGTCAGCACAGACATCACCACACATTATGATCTCCGCTCTTCTCCCCCCTATGTGCTTCTCCTAAGCCCCAAGACCAATTTGGGTGGGTGGAATCCCCATTGTGCTAGTGCAGGGCAGTCCAACTTTTCATACCAACTGGGCCAGACAGTTTGACACAGAGCCCACAGGTCACACACTGCCTTGTCACCCGGGGGGGGGGGGAGCAAAGCCCAAATGTGACTCCCCGCCCCCATTCCTTATGTTGCCTTCCCAAAGTTGGGTAAATGTTCTTGTTTTTATCATGTTTTTTGTGCTTTACCATGTATTTTTACATTGTGTTTTGCTTATCAAAAGAGTTAAAAAGCTGGGATAGCTTCCATTAACCAAACCTGGCCATCTCTTTGTCTGCCTTCTGTACCACCATTAACGTGAAGGCATCCATTCAGGAGTTTGAAAAGACTTCATTAGCGACTTGATTGGCATGTGTTGACTTTTACAAGGTGTGAAGCATTTCCTAAGATGAGGCTGGTATCAGGCTTGTACCAAGGTCAAGCAAGGTTCAAGATGGAGAATCCCATGTCGGTTTAAGTTATGTCAGTCTTATGCTTACACCATGATCAACAGCGATAAACCATTTCATAAGTTCAGATTTAAACAAGCCTTTAAAACAGAGTTTGATTTACAGCACCTTTTGGGTCAGGGGGAATTCCTCCAGGGTGCCAGGTCACATGGCTGAGCTGAAAGAGGTTTGCAGTAGGTGTAAGCTGTGGAGGCTGGCCAACTGGGGTGAATGGGGTACTGCCCCACCTACCTCAACCCACCCTTAGCCAGCCCCCACCTGCCCTGACTTTTTACTTTCAACCAGTCCAGGGGTTGGCACTGTGTGTCATCTTCCTCCTTCTTAATCTCAGTGTTGCCCTGCCTGTCACTGACTCTGGCGCCACCTACTGTCAACCTCCTTGCTTTCTACCCTACCAGTCCCAATGAATATGTCACACTCCTGGAACGCTCCCTTTTGTGGACTTTTGCTCGTGTAAATTCTGCCAGCTCCTGTTCCATCGGCTGAGCCCCAGCTGAGCCATCATAGCTCCAATTCTGCTGGATTGTGTAGTCAATACAGTGTATCCCCAGAACAGCTCAAGATCTGCCTAGTTTGAACTTGTTTATCCCAGTGGATCTTAGGTTTGGAATGCACTGTAAGTCTAATATATAATTGTATAGATGTGTATAATTATTCCAAAGTAGTTCAAAACAATCCTGTTTTTTTGTCCTTAGAATGATAATGTATGGAACCTTCCTCACTGTTTCTCTGAAACAGGAGAGGGGAACCCTTAGCCCTCCAGATGGTGTTGGACTCCAATTCCCATCAGCCTCAGCCAGGATGGCCAGTTTTAGGGATGATGGGAGTTGTAGTTCAGTAGCATCTGGAGGACCACAGGTTCCCCACTCCTGCTGTAAAACTTAGTGGGGCCAGCATTGCGCTGTATAGAAAGACAGCTTTTCTCAAAGACAGGGATCTTGCTTCTTAAAATCTGGAGAGCTGTTAAATTATAGGAGCTTCATAGAGAAATATGGTGCATGAGGTACAAAAAACAATGTTCTTGCTGCAAGTATGTATCAACCACCCTGCCTTGTGAGCCTTAACAATATCAATCTGTTCTTCTTCTTAGATGTACCAAGCTGTGGGAAAGCATTGTCATATCTACCGTAACCTCCATAGTCTGTGTTGTTGTGGTTGTACTAGTATATGCCAAACTCTGCAGGAAAATAGGTAACACTGTCCTGTACAAGTTTTAATTTATATGAGCTCATCCTTGGTCTGTTCTATTCCATTCCTGAGCTATTTGCTTTTGATGCAGCTGTCCTGCTTAGCATAGTGACAACCCTTCACTAGCTTTCTGTAATTCATCCATTTGCTACTTTACTGCACCCTATGTAGCAGTTCTCTTGGATCATCACCATCCCATTCATATATGGGAGATTTGTACCATGAATGAATAGAGGAAACCTGATGATCCTACATTAAGGGTGGGGCACCTGAAGCCCATGGGCCATATGTGGTCCTGGACACGACCCACAACAGGCCCAGTTGCCCTCAACTGCTTTTTCTGGGCTGGAAGGTCTCCTTGAACTGTGATAACATCTCTTGCTCACCTCAACGAAGAGTTGTATGGATGTCAAACTCTTTTAAATTATTTTTACACTTTTTTGTTTTTTTTATACTAGTATATTTTATGAAGACCTTATGGTAATGGAGGGACGTGGGTGGCACTGTGGGTTAAACCACAGAGCCTAGGACTTGCCGATCAGAAGGTCGGCGGTTCGAATCCCCGCGACAGGGTGAGCTCCTGTTGTTCAGTCCCTGCTCCTGCCAACCTAGCAATTTGAAAGCACATCAAAGTGCAAGTAGATAAATAGGTACCACTCTAGCGGGAAGGTAAACGGCGTTTCCATGTGCTGCTCTGGTTCGCCAGAAGTGGCTTAGTCATGCTGGCCACATGAAGCGAGATGAGCGCCGCAACCCCAGAGTCGGCCACGACTGGACCTAATGGTCAGGGGTGCCTTTACCTTTACTATGGTAATGGAAGCAGGTAAGGAATCTTAAGAATGGGAGGATGGATGAACAGAAAACTCTGATTTGTGTGGAATGTAGTCTACTGTGCAGAGGAAACAATCCCCATCCACTTCTGCCTCTAACCCAACCCACCACTGGCATCCTGCCCTTGATATCTCTTTTAGAAATCCTTGTACAGGTTCACCTATACAGGTTCACCTGAGGCAGGTGGTTACCAAGGAGAGGGTCCCACTTAGGAATGCTTTCCCCAGAGAGGCTTGCCTGGCACCCACACTATGATATTTTAGGCACCAGGTGAAGACCACCTCATTCTCCCACGCCTTTCTGTTGCAGCCCACCAGGTGCTTTAGTCTTTGCACCAAATTTTCCCTGGCACAATTTTATGCTGGTCTGAACTTGTTTAAATTGTTGTAGCTGCTTTGTTTTATGCTGATCACCTTGAACTGTGCACAGTGCTTATCCCATATGCTCAAAAGACTAGAGTTGGTTTGGGGCCATATGGCCTTATATGTTGGATCCAGATTTGAGTTCGGTTCAGAGCAGCTCCACTGAAAGCAATGGAACTTGGGTGAGATGCCCTTAGTGAGGTTTCATTCAATAGTTCTCACTGCTAGCACTGCTTCCCATTGTCCTGACCTGGTCTAGCCGAGGAGACCATATCTCCCCCATTGCTTGTAAGTGCAAGAAGGGGCCCGGGGGCAAACTCATGAGATCAGTGGTGGGTCTGATGCTGACCCTGACCACGTGTGTGCCATGGTGAGATGGGAGCAGAAGCCTCTGAGGAGTGTAGAGCACTGATGAGAGGGACTCCTAGTTTCTTACTGGAGTATTATCCTAACTAGGACTGCACTCTCTGTTTCAGAGCAACATGCCTATAAACACCATGGAAGAAGACAGCCTGGGTTCAGAGCAAAGAAGCCCAACAATGCCTTAGCTGGGAATGCCTTAGCTGGGAATATGCCATCCTCTCAGCTGGAGTTGCCCTCTCCGTGGCCGAGAAACCCAAGCCAAGCCCAGCAGGGACAAGGACCACATTTTCAAATAGACAGTTTCATGGCAGGCAAGTCCTCAGCTTGGAAAAGAATCTTCCAGTGTCACAATCAACAGTTGTCCCCTTGTCTGAAATGGCAAAAACACACTGACCAAAAAGCATTTCCTTCTCTAACGTGTTATTTTTTCAGCCAAAGCTTGCTCTGCCAGACCCATCCTTTTCCAAGAACTCACAGATACCACCAACATACGTTGGCAGGTGTGCCAGGTGCTAAAATACAAAATCAATTAATATCGCTAGCCACAGTCAGATGCTGGTAGCTGTAGATAGTTCCTATGGTCCTTCAGATGAAAGCTGAATTGCTGAATAAACTTTGGGATGGGATCCAAAGGTTATAAGTTCTCTTGGAGCCAGGGTGATCTGATTTGCTAGGAACCACAAAAACCCTTTCTCTGGTCAGAAGGTACTAGAAGTAGGGATCTCTGGAACTGTACCTTGGACAAAGCTTGGTAAGCAGCCTAGGATCTTGTAGATCCTAAGTACATTCATCAGGAAGTATATTGCATTTATTTAAAATCTCTAAAACCACCCTTCATTCACCTGTGGACGGAGGGAGTTGGTTGTTCTTCATGTGCCCCATATCTATGCATGAAATTCACTCCCATCTTGTTTCACAGTATGCAAGTCAAACACCTCCCCTATAAATGTTGAATCCCACCCATAGCATAGCTGCTTCTGTCTCTGCTTTCAAATCCAATTTCCCTTCTGCCTATCTCAAATACTTAAACTGTTATGGCAATAATGTTTTTTTCTTTGTCATAGGTAGCAGCTCAGAAAGCTCACTGTGCTCTCTTGCCAGAAAGGTAATGGCGTTTACTTCAGCAGCATCTCACATGAATTGCAACGATTGCTATGCTGATGCTAATCTTAAGTTAGTCTATCAGAACTTAGAGGCTTTTTGTGCAAATTGCAAGGATATTTCACAACGAATCATTCCTTTATTCTTAAAAATAATGGTTAAGATGTTATTTATCTTTCAGAGATGTAGTAAAACGAAACAATATACAGTATTAGAGGGCATCCCAAAATATTCATATAAACAAGACTATTGATTACATCAGATGGTACAGGCTCTGATGTATACTGTGAATATACAATCAGGAGATTGAGGTAGTCAAAGTGGAGATAATCAAAATCATAGTTGACAACATTTCCCTTTTTTAAGGGAAATTCCCTTATTCCGAATAGGATTCCTCGCAAGAAAAGGGAAACGTTGACAGCTATGCAAAATGTTATTGTGTACCTCAATGGGAGTCACTTCACTAGCTGGCAGAAGAAATAACGAAGTCATCTAAAAAGATCAAAAGAGAGAGTCATTGTGGGCCTGTGTCTCTCTCAGTCCTAGAAGCTAGATTCATCCAAGGAAGCTGCATGTTAGATGATTCAGAAGAGACAAAAGACGGTACTTCTTTGCTATGATGGCTTGTGCTACTAACATCTTACATTTTTAATCCTTACAGTTCTCTAATGGTCTAGTCATCACTGTGCTATACCAGCTCTTGCATAATACAGGGGATTGGCATAATCACACAGTGGTACAGAGTGGCTGTATGTTGGTATTCTTGAACCACAATTGACTATTACCCTGTATGTTTGAATTTCAGCATGCTTTACCTGTACTTCAGCATTCCGGGTCAGATGAAATCAATTATACAACCATTGTGTTCCAAGATCCCATGAATGGCACCAGCTCGGGAAGAAGCAATGAAGATCTAAGCGATCACAGACACTATGAGAATGTGTCTTCCTAGGAAAGAAAAGCTGGTTTCTGATCACGCTCTTGCCCCCTTGCTTCTCGTTCGGACCTAAGTAGGACCAGCCGTTCATGCATTGCCTTCTTCAGTATAGATGAAGGCATAAGCTTTTGTGAACTCAAGCCCATTTCATCAGATGCACGAAGTGAGATCTTTTCTGGCAGATATATAAAAGAGAAAATTGTAAAGTAGACTTCAAATAAAAAGTGACATTTTTATTTATTTAAAATGAGTAAAAATAATGACCAAAACTCCCTATTTTTATATCTTTAATTCTGTCTGTAAACAACACAGAGGATCTGTGTGTATTGTAGTATTGTAGTTTCATATTTTAGTTTAGGAAATCGAAAGCTTGACCCTTTGCTATCTGTGTTGTATTCCTACAGGGAGTCTTGCTCTCCGCAGAAATGAAATTCCACCTTCATTTTCTTTGGTGCTTAAGCTGTTCCCCAAATGCAAGCCAGGCCTTCCCAAATAATTTTGGCTGTGTACACACCATACACCATACACACTTCCCCAAAGAATCTCAGTAACTGTAATTTTCCCTTCACAGGATTACGATTTTGAGGGAAGTCATGTGCTTGAAATGTATTTTGTTCATGCTTTTTGCAATGTCAATGGTGAAGTCCACTCCAAAATACAATATTTAGTTTGAAACCGAATGGGTCAGCACTATCCTTCAGACCTCTTGCATCTCTGTCTTTTACTTTGGGAGTGATACCCATGGCAGGGCAAAGGAATTGTCTGTGATGGCTAGCCTAAAAATAATGCTAAAAAATCTCATTCCAGCCTGCTGAAGCTGGCTTCAGAGTCAGAAACCTTAGCCTTCATTTAAACATGTCATGTATGCTATCTGGCAAAAAGGATACCATTAAGTTTCTTGCTTGGAGAGGCACAGTATAAATGACTATTTAGATGGCATCTGCCACCCACGAAGCTTAGTGAGATGTTTTCAGAAACATATTGCAAATATTGGAAGTGCAATATCCTTTTGCAGATCTGCTCCATATGCTTCATGGCAGGGCTGATGGATAGCTTATACTTACTGGATGCTACATTGTTATAACTGTGTTAGGAAAAGTGAAACTTGAATTGGATTTAAATCCACGATTAATTTTATTTAATCTTTTTAATTTGATTTAATTGAATAGATTCCAAACAGCTGCAATTTATAATGAATTTAATAATCTCTGAAAAGACAGTCCAGGGCAGATACTGTAAGAACCTACAGCTTACATTCATTTCCTCAATCCTAAAATGTAGCCAAGATTGAAAAGCTCGTCAATGCAATGTACAGAAGGAGTGACACCTCTGCAATTGCCCCCCCCCAAATAAAAATGCATTGCCAAAAAATGGCCTTTCTTCATAAACTATTATAACATGACATATAAAGCTTGATAGAAATATATTGTCATAAAGTAAAAAGCTTTGGTCTCTCTTGCATTGTATCCCCCTCCCCTTTTTCTGAAAAAAATAAAATAAACCATGTATGCTAGGGTAAAGTAGTATTTCATTACACGTGGGCACAGCAAAGGCTGGGGAAGGGGTATGGACTTAGGTGTTTTGTATAGTATTTAAAGTCAATCCTTATAGTATTGCTTTGTGCTTGAGGCAGTGAAGCCATTGGCACAAATTGACTGAGAAGCTGTAATAGCTGGAATGTCCATAAACACTTCTAATTGTTCTGTGAGAAAATACTGTTAGAATGTGTTAAGTTCTTATTTATTTAATAGAAGTCAAGTTTACTCACTTTGTAAGCCCAGAACAAGAGGTTGTTTATTGATGAACAGGTCAACACAACAACAACAACATAGGAAAATAAAAGTAACCACAATAGCAAGCTACAAGATGGAGTCTTAGCTCCAACCCAAAATAACTGGATGCAATATTTAACTCCATAATTATGAATTATTACATTAAGGCTTAGTTTGAATTCTTCTAGGGGAGCTCAAAACCTTGGTTTGTCCCCGCTTAGAAAGAACATGAATTTTTATACCACATGATTCTGACTGATGGTGAGGCTGATGTGGCGTTCAAAGTATGGCTGTCACTTTCACCTCACTTTTCCATCTTCCAGTTATATAGGGGTGGTGGAAGAAAGGGAGACCAGAGAAGGAAACTAGGGCATAAGCAAACCCTCCTGCACTTGGTAATAACTTGGCTCCCGCTATCATGGTGGAGCATGAAGTCAGGGGTAAGGAATCTTCTTCAGCTTGAGGGTTGCATTCTCTCCTAGGCATCCTTCTGCCAATGGTGGCTGGAGCCAGAGGCAAAAGTGGGCAGGACAAGTTGACAGGTGTGGGTGTGGCCAGAGGGGAATGTGGGCGGAGCAGCAGTTCAAGAGCAATGCCACCTCTCTAGTGGTCAAGCATTTTTATTTTTATTTCTGCCTACTCTTTTCTCCTGCTGTTGTGGAGTGCAATAAGAGTCATGCTTGCTGTTACTAGGGAGGTGGGGGAGAAAGCAGCAGTGGAGTGAGGGAGGGGCTGGGACTGGGAGGTGTTACAACTGGATTTGTGTCCTGTACAAAACCATTTGTTCCACCAGTGGGTACTTTGCACACATCTAGGCTGAGCACCTTTAGCCTAAAGCACATTCGAAACATATTTCCTTCCTCACAGAATTCTGGCCACTGTAGGATTGCTTGGGGTAGTAACTTTGTGAGGGGTAAACTAGGTAAAGGTAAAGGGACCCCTGACCATTAGGTCCAGTCGTGACTGACTCTGGGGTTGCGGCGCTCATCTCGCTTTATTGGCCGAGGGAGCCGGCGTACAGCTTCCAGGTCATGTGGCCAGCAGGACTAAGCCGCTTCTGGCGAACCAGAGCAGCGCACGGAAATGCCGTTTACCTTCCCGCCAGAGCGGTCCCTATTTATCTACTTGCACTTTGACGTGCTTTTGAACTGCTAGGTTGGCAGGAGCTGGGACTGAGCAATGGGAGCTCACCCCGTCGCGGGGATTCGAACTGCTGACCTTTTGATCGGCAAGTCCTAGGCTCTATGGTCTAACCCACAGTGCCACCCGCATCCCGAGGGGTAAACTACAGCGCCCATAATTCTTTAAGGCGGGAAAATGTGTTTCAAATCTGCTATACTGTGTATGCAGCCATAGCCGGAACACAGAAAGGTATCAGCTTACCACTGAGCAGCTTGTTTGCAACCAGCATTCTTGAGAAGGAAATGGCTCAGGTCTGATAGAAAAGCCATAGTGACAGGTAAGAACATAAGGAGATCCTTGCTGGATCTGACCAGAGATCTGTCTGGCTCAGAACTGTGTTCTCACAGGGACTACCTAGAAGTCCACAATATATTACACATGAGTATAAATGGGATGCAGGTATTCTTTGCCAACTCTCAAGTTTCTGCAGAACAAAGCTCTTGAGGAAAGTTAGACTTAAATCCCATACATGATAAGACCATCAAGTTCCCCTGCTCTCCATTACCATTCGGAGCTCCTGGCATAGAGTAACTACCGTACAGTGGCCCAAGCTTATACTCTAGAGCTCCCTTGATTCAGTCACTGTGTCCTCCTCATAGGGCTGGTAGAAATCTTTCAAGTTCTCCAGTTGCATCTGAACACCGGCACCAGCCGCAATCAGGGTGCTCTGTGGGCTGTGAGTCAAGATAGTGGTTTTCCGGCTACAGAGGCTGCCATTGGAGAATTGCCTCTTGAGGTTGGAGTGAAGGTTCCCACAGCAGGAGAAAAAGTGCATGATATCATGAACAAGATGTCCGCTGAAGAACATGTAAATCCAGGGGTTGCAGCAGCTGCTGAGGCTGGCGAGTAACATGGTGATGGTGTAAGTTGCATTGCTGGACTCTGAAATGGAGAGGGAAACAATGGCAGTTAATTTACCCCCCACCAACTCCATGCAAATAAAAAATGTGTGGTATGTCTCTGGCAGATGTAGACATGTAAAATACAATTGCGTGTAATAATGGTGTCCTTAAATGTGAAAGATGCCTCTTACTTGTCTGCGTAGAGGATAGAGAGGGGTGTGCGAGTGTGGCTTGAAACTGAGTAAGATATAGGGCTCTGTTAAGTCCTATTCAGAAATCACTGTGCCTGCATAGGGAAGGATTATACTGAAGGCATGGATGTGACATTTGTCACACTGCTAGTATTCTACAGGTACATGCGGTAGGTAGTTGGAACTGGTTTTGATTCTCAACACAGTTATACATAGGAGCCAACATGCAATGTGTAAAATAGGATAGTCTGTGCCTGAAGGAGGATTAGAACTCAGGTCTTTGAGAGTCTAAACCCGGCACTCTAATGACTCCACTATCTACCAACCCTCAGCTATTGGTTAGTTGACCACACTGTTTGGGTTTCATTTTAAATCCTCCAGGCAAGGGGTGATGCTCTCGTGCTCGGTTCTTTTAATGATTCTCTCTCTTGCTTGCTTTTTTAAAAAATTATTATTTGAACATCTATATAATCTTTCTCTAGGTAACAAATCCAATCATAATTTGATTCTATGTTCTGTAAAGAACTCAAAATAGGGAAATTAAACACCACGAGGGTATATCCTACAATCATGATGGCTTATTAGTTCACACATCTGCATTTCTATTTTAGCAACCAATTTTTCAACAGCGTGTGATGTTATTATTTTACTTCAAAACCATAATTGTAGGTGTATCTTGTAACCGTAGTGAAAATAATAATGTACAGGCAAAACCACCCCCTCTCCCCCACCACACACAAATCTTTTAGAAAACAGTCGTTTCCGTGTTGCCTTGACGAAAGCTAGATGGAGATGCAGAGCAATGCAGTTGCTACTAGAATACGGTACAAGTTATAAATGTGTGTTTGTGACAGAGAGCAGCCTAGACATTGCATCTTACTAAGCTGGTGGGTGAGATATAGTTAGGTGTGTGTCGGGGAAAACATTTCTTGCCTGATGTGAGTGAGTGAGTGAGTGAATGATAGATTTCCTTCTCCCAGGTTGCATGTGCAAATCAGGAGCTGGTGTGCATTTGCTGCGAGAGACAGGGAGTCACTGAATTGTGTGCGTACTGTATACCTATTTGCGAGTGTTGCATTAAATCTGTTTTCTTCTGGGTGGTTTTACTCATCTAATCAGAAGAGCACTTCCCCACCCGCCGTGGGATGGAAATGAAAGAAAAAGCTATACTTGGTCACCACATGGAGCCCTGACTAAGGTCCAGAGCTTGCTCTGACTGTGATGTAGGAAGCAGGGTGAGTCTTTGAATCCTGACCCTCTCTCTTTCCTCCTCAAAGACACTCACCATCATTTGGGGCATTCCTGTCCCACACCGACCACATCTGCATGCTGAAGAAGGGAGCCCAGCAAGCGACGTAGGCCAGCACTATGACAAAGGTCATCTTCACAGTGCGGATCTTTGCCCTTGAGATGGTGCGCACGCTGCTGACCCGGGAGCCAGACTGGCACTCTGCTCCCTTCGGAACAGTGGCTGTATAAGAAATAGCAGCAGCAGCAGTCGTACGGGCAGGAGAAGGACCGCAGCTCTGCGTCTTCCCTCGAAGGTTCTTGCAGATCTTGTGGCAAATGAGGCTGTAGCAGACGGTGAGGATGGCCACGGGCAGCACGAAAACACACAAGGTCATCCACGTAATGTAGGCTTTAGCCCCCCAGGGATACTTGAATTCCGCCCAGCAGTCCAGCACGCCAGAGCCTTGCTGCACCTCTCTGAGAGAGAAGATGAAGATCTGAGGCAAGCTGAGCAGGCAGCTGAGCAGCCAAGTGACCCCGATCATCTGGTAAGCCTGGCAGCTGGGCTGCTGCAGGGTGCGCAGCGGGTGGCACACCGCCATATAGCGGTCCAGCGTCATAGCAATGAGCATGTAGGTGGAGGCAAACATGCTGAGCACCTGCAGGTACTTGACAGCCTTGCAAAGAGGATCCGGCCCCTGGAAGCGATAGGTCACCTCCCAGATCATTTGCGGAAGGACCTGGAAGAGCGCCACCCCGAGGTCGGTTAGGCCCAGGTGCAGGATGAAAAGGTGCATGCGGCTCATCTTCTTCCTTAGCCGGTACATGGCCAGAAGGACGCCCAGGTTCCCCACCAGGGTCACCACCAGGATGGCTGCCAGGACCCCAATCTCAGCCTTGGCGAGTTCTTCGTCTCGGGTGTGGAGGATAGTCTGGTTGCCGTCTCCATCCTTTGGCTCAAAGAGTCTGGTGCTCTCCAGAAAAGATCTGTTCACAAAGCTGCTATGGTCAGTGCTATTCTTCCCCATTGACTAGGATTCAAAGAAGTGCGGTGATTTCCGAAAAGTAAGTTCTGCAATATGAGACTCTCTCTGAGAGATCAGGTAGTTAGATTAATAGCACCCTCCTCGTGACTGTAGATCTGTAGAAGCCAGATTAATTTTCCATCTTTCTTTTAACTGTTCCCTCTCCCCTTAATATTTGGCCCTGCTATTTATCATCATGAGGTGAGTCAGATTCAGCTAACAATATAATTTGTCTTAAATCCCCTTTTCTAATTTGCCTGCAAAGCTGCAAATCTTTTTTATGAATATGAATTGTTTACAATATATCTTGTTCAGTTTTCATTTCCTTCTTCTGCGCCCATCAACACCCCTGCTTTGCTTTGGGATCCGATAGCTCATTGAATTTTATGGTTTCTCTTCTCTCACTCCCCTCATTTCTTTCTTAGTTCCTTACCCTCTCGGGATCCATTAGATCTTTTCTCCCTTTCCTCTCTGCACTGACCGGCTCAGACAGCACTACTGTTAATTTTCAGAGTCTTTTATAGAAGTCTCAGGAAAAAACAACAACAATTAAAATAACTAAAATCCCACCATCAGGCACAGCCTTTTTGCCTACGCAGTAAATTGAATGAAGATAAGTATTTGCAAATCAATCAAAATGCCAAGGTCCTGGATCTCTTTTTGAGTGCTGGTGGTAGATGCTAAATCTGAACGCAGCTGATTCCCCAGGCTGTGTGAACTGCCTACTGCTTTGATCTGGGTTTTATAGACAGCGAGCTGCCCTCTCTGGTTGGTCCTTGCCATCTGGCTCTATTGTCTCCTCTGTTGCTGAGCTAGAATCTGAAGAGAGTCTCCTGCTTATTACAGCATGCATACATACAAACACACACACACACACACACACACACACACAGGTGAGTGTCTTTTTTTTCTTGAGCAAAGAAATAGATCAAATATTTCTTTTTTAAAAACAACAACCACCATTTTGCTTCTGTAGCTCCCAAGTGAAGATCTTTTGGGTGTCCAGATGGTACGGGGTGTTTTTTGGGGGAAACTTCATTAGTTTCGCCGTGAGTGCTAATATATTCTGCAGAAGTGTGCCAATTTGCAATATTCCTTCCTTTCCTTCTATCCATTAATGACTCCATATCCAGAAAAGTTCCCCCCCCCCCCAGCACTCTCTCTTTATTCACAAGGTGGTCAAAGTTTGTGATTATAAATGAACAGTATAGAATGGAAAGTCAATGAAAATATGTCTTGTTTACGATCTACCTTTTTGCTTCAATGAATCCTATCATCAGCTGCTTTTTCTTCACATTCTCCAGAGGCTGGCTAGCAAATATCCACAAGATTGCAATCATGGACAATTTTGGAATCCTTAGGAACAGAGTCAAATTTGGCATTAGAGGTTGTGATAAACTGTTTCTGTGGTTATTCAGAAAGAGCTTCTTATGGATTTTATTTTATTTTATTAGTTCAGTGCTCTTTCTAAGTAATGCTGTTAAACTCAAATTTAGCAAAATTGTTACTTTCCAGAGACTTCAGAAAGATTTGAGAATTGTTGATAGAACTGTCTATGTGAAATCATGAACAAAGCTATATTACAGAGAGTTTCATCTTTGAATAATACAGAGAAAATCTGCTATTTGTTGATGCTTCAAGAGAAAAACACTACATGTATTTATGTTTGCCTTAGCTGCTCAAAGGATTAAGGATCCAACAGAATTTTATTATAAGCTTGGGGTCCCATGTGCTGGAGAAGTATATGTACTTCTGTACTGTTTGTATTTTGTGATGGCCCAAGGTGTCTAACAAATAAATTTGACTGGCTGGCCCACTGGCTATAGCCAAACCTGATGAAAGCAGCAACTGTGAATAATTTTCAGTGATCCTAAGCACTTCCTAAGAACACAGTGGTATAGAATACACCATTACAGTGATGCATTGCCCCAATAGAATATCTTTATCTCAGGTGTATTTTGGCTATGGAGTTGGTAATAGCAAAGTGTCCTTTGTTTCCAAGGAGTGATCATTTTGGATTTTTAAACATTAACATCACGTTTTGCCATCAAAAGCTAACTTGGCTGCCACTCCTTGGAGGAAAACGAAAAGCAGCTTCCCAAATATTATGGATTTTCTTTCAACAGGATTAGTTTTCTTCAGAAGGCAAACTGCTACAGCCTGGGGTATTTGCAGTGTCTGAGCTGTGTGTGTTTGCTTTTCTTCTCTTAGTAGGGACTGACAGTCAATTCGCCATGCAAACACATGAAAAAGATTGCATAGGTCAACCAGAAATTAGCACAAATGATCTTGTGAATATATGGCTGCACCATCCTGTAGAAATGACTGAACTCATCATGGACTTGTTGTGGGGAAAGAGAAGCATTGCACGGAATAATATTCTTCTTTACCACAGTCAGACTGTCTGATTTCCTGGCAGTTTACTAAAATGTGAAATAAAATTAAAAGCAGAAATGAAATCCAATTGAATGCAGAAGTGGAATGGAAATCAGATTCCTGGTAGTACATCTTTCTGGGCAGGTAGATTATACATTATTTTGATATAATAGCAATATCCTATACTCTGTAAAAAGATTCTGATAAGGGAGGGAGATTGAAAGGGTTTCTTCCAGTAGCAGGCTATCGCCATGGATTCAGTAGTTGATGCAAAAACTACCTATTTCATAACAGCCTATTCTGCAATAAAGTGCAGTTACTTTAATAAGACGGCTAAACCATCCCCACTCCCCAAAGGAGGAAGAAGTACGGGAGAGTTTGCTTTCGATGAGACAGCAGCTAAGATTTAACTTTCAAAATAATTGCCTTATTTACAAATATAGGCAAACAGCAGACAATCCTAGCAGGCCACTGACCCACTATCCCATATTAGTAGTCCCTGCACCCTTCAGCCAACTTACCGTGCTCTTTCATTGTGGCCTGGGTCTTACTTCAAAAACTACCAATCTGCTATTTCACAACTGCCCCCAAAACACCCTGTGCCATCTAGATGCCCAAAGATCTTCACTTTGGAGTCACAGAAGCAAATGGGTTTTTAAATAAATAAATAAATAAATAACTTATCTCTTTCTTTGGTCAAGAAAGAAAAGACACCCACCTGTGTGTGTGTTTGTTGTGCATGTTGTATTAAGCAGGAGACTCTCTTCAAATTCTAGCACAGCAACAGAGGAAACAATAGAGCCAGATGGCAAGAACCAATCAGAGAGGGCAGCTCCCTGGAGGATAAGGTTATCAATGACTTGATACCTAGTGTTAAGTTGTGGGTGAACATATCAGACGACACAGCAATTCTCCAAACAGCTCTTGTTTATTCACAGGCCAGAACAGAACTGAACTGAAGGGTTCAGCCAGCCTGCTTATATAGAGCTCCAGTACAACGTAACTGTAACAACTTTCTGTAACTATCCAATCACTGAACGTCACTTTCGATCCCTTATTTGCATATGTGGACCTGAACTATCTACAGTATCCCCCTGCTGGCCCAGGGTGAGAACTTCAGTACATAACACTTATGTTCCGTCAGAGGCAGTATGCCTTGGAATGCCAGTGGCTGGGAATCACAAGTGGCTTTTGCCACTGGTTAGCTGCTGTGAGAACAGGATGCTGGGCTAAAAAGGCCAAGGGCCTTCTCAGATCTGGAGCTGCCCTTGTACAAGGGACACAACAATATCACAAGCTGCATCGCATTCCCACACCACCGGGCTCTGAAAAAGAGTACTAAATTGTGTGCTTGAAGCCGCTCCTTGCTCACACAATCATTATCAGCAGTATGACTAAGGATTTGTTCTCATTGGAGTAATAAATCTGTGTCAAGGCAGGATCACTTGAAGCTGTAGGTGGGCCAGCATCATTGCCTGATCTTCTATACAAAAAAGTCCCCCATATAGAAAACTTGATGTCAAGGAGAAGAGTGGTCTACTATTGTTCTATAGAAGAGAAAGAAAAGCCCTTTCCTGCACTTTGTCTTATTAGAATCAACAGCAAAAATGACAACTGGTTATGCCTGATGCACAATTATGCTCTGTTAAAGCCATGTCGCTGCCTGTTCTTAGCGCAATATTTTTCGCTCCATAAGACGCACCTGACCATAAGACGCACCTAGTTTTTAGAGGAGGAAAACAAGAAAAAAAATATTCTGAAAGAAACAGTGGGTGTATGATTTTTGTGGTTCATGCTGTGGCCACAGACATGATATGTGATTTGACGGTGAGTTTGGGGTAGCCCAATGCAAAAATCCTGAGGATCCATGTGGATCCGTGCTTTGTAACCACGTTTTTGCGCCACTGCGGCCCCACGAAACAGTGGATACGTGTGCCTTTTAGTGCAGGCTGTAGCCATGAACATGCTATGTGATCTGTGGGACGCAAGTAAAGCTGTTATGAGAGGGTTTCTGATACAACAGAATGCAATAAAGAAGAGAAGTCAAAATGAGAAGAAAGATAAAATTTTGGAGAAAATAAAAGAAAGTGAGAAGAAACTGAGAGCAAAACCAAAGTCGCAGGAGATTTTGAGAGAAATAAAATTATATCAAGTACAATATATGGAAATGATGAATCAGGAAATAGAATGGAAAATTAAACAAATGAGACAAAAAACATTTGAATCAGCTAATAAATGTGGGAAATTGCTGGCCTGGCAAATGAAAAAAGACAAAAATTAAATACTATCACAAACTTAGAAGTGGAAGGAAAGAATATACATAACCCAATTGAGATTAGAGACTGTTTCCAGAGGTATTATAAACAATTATACACACAAGGGCCACAGAAAGAAATGGACATAGACAAATTTTTGAAGACAAATGGACTACAAAAATCTCCCAAGAAAGCAAATTAATGTTGAACTATAAAATATCCGAACAGGAAGTAGAAGGTGCCATTCAAAATATGCAATTGGGCAAATCTCCAGGACCGGATGGGCTGACTTCTAGATATTATAGATCTTTGAAAGAGTGGCTATTACAACCTTTGAAGGAAGTCTGTAATGAAATATTGGAAGGGAAAAGG